GATGTTGACTGACTCCAAGCAGTGAATGTAAAGTGTAGGTTTGATTGCTCTTGCTTTCCTCTTTTCTTTCTTTTCACATCTAGGGTCAATAGAAAATCACATGGATAAATCTGATCAAATGTTTTTGAAGGATCTTGTGAAACCAGCTATAATGGTGGGGTGTGTCATAAATATTTCTCATACATGGCATGACGTGACGCCTCGCCGGTCATTGGCAGGCTAGCAGTCTCCTTTACCAAACGGGAGGGAGCGGCAGTTTAGTATATGGATCCCTTCGGGGACATCCGATAAAATTGGAACGATACAGAGAAGATTAGCATGGCCCCTGCGCAAGGATGACACGCACAAATCGAGAAATATCTTAGCTGTCAACATCAGTTGCTGCAAAGTACTAGGCACTTCCGGCTGAAACCTTGTGTTTTCAGGGTAGATCGAATCCACGTGTATTTTTGCGCCTTCCCACCTTACTCCTCAAGGGACTCCTTCCCATTACATCGCAAGAACTTTTTTTTGCACACCATGGATTCACAAGGACCTCTTGCATTTTCGTCGGGAAGGATTCTTGCGAAGAACTAATGTGATACATTGAGGGTTCTAATGAGATTGTACACTTTTCGGGGGAAAAAAACCAATTTCCTCAAGTTTAATAATTTGGAAAAGTTTTTAAAAAAGCTGACTACATAAGAAATTTAAAATTTGTTTACGGAAGGATAATTCAGAGACAATTTTTTTCAAATGGGTTGGATGCGACACCGGGACTTCGCGGGAGATCACCCATCCCATTACTACTCCGGCTCATGGGCGCTTAACTACAGAGTTCTAATGGGATCTAGTGTAGTAGCCCTGGTATGATTGCATCTCAACAAGGAAGGAGTTTCGGGTGTACATGAAGAGTATGCTGCTCTCTCTCTCTTCGACGAGGTATATGTTGCAGCTACTTCTTTTCACTCCAAAGACACCTGACGACCGTGTGGCCGAGGTTACCGGATTAACTCCAGCTTGCGGAGTGAGGACTACGAAGACCAGTTTATCTTCTAGCCAGGTGCTTAGTGCCGGATGCCGGTCATGTAGCAGCAGCCTAAGTTTCACTTGTGACAAGCTCACGAGATAATCATGGTCTATGGCTAAATGAACAAAATTGATTCTAGAGGACAACAAGCTCTTGCAGACATGGTTCAGCCACAAGACTGAATACGTCCTTGCTCAAGAGTAAAACGGAAGTTTCTTGCAAGAGATGATTATGGTATTTCAGTTACTATATATGCTCGCAGAGATATTCCATTTTTTATATTATAAAGCCAAATTTCTTTCTGCTGTAAACCTATTGAAGAGAAAAAAACATATTCCAAAACGTTTTAATCATCTTTCAGGTTTATGAAAAGCATTCAATAGAGATTTTCATTGGAACCAAAAAAAAAATTCCAAATATTTGAAAGCATATGAAAGATTATTCGTTCAGCTTGAAGATATCAAACTTGGCTAAGCTTGTATTAAAATATTCTTAGAATTTAATAAAGTACAAAGTCCGGCAATATGATATAACATCGTGTTTTCTTCTAAGAAGCTTTAAGTATACTTTGAAATAGCTTCATGAATAGTTATCATCCATGATTCAATAACGTAATAGAACGAGATTCTCATAATCATTGGATCTAGCAACCAAATATGTTGATCAAGATATATTTGATGATTTTTCATAGCCTGGATGACATGATTAAATTTTTACGATTTTGAGTTGAAACAATTTATATATTTCTGGTTTCTGGTTCATGGTATTACTTATTTTGGAGTTTAAGATATTTGTCTAAATCTGCATGTTATTTATGTTGAAAACTCATCTTAAATATTAACTCAAATCAATTATTTGATTATTTTATCACATTTCACTTTGCTTCAATATATTTTTAATAAATGTGTTTCAAGATAATTATTTCCAGAATTAAGAATGGATTGATTCACCACATACTTGTAAGAAACTTTTCTATACCATCAATAAATAATGCATCGAGATTTTAAATGTATGAAACTGAATGATGTGACATTAATCTTTAAACATTAATATAAAGTTTGTAAAGTTTGTAAAATAAAGTTTGTAAGTTTGTAAATAAGATTTGGATAACAATGTTTTTTATGTGTGGAAATTAACTGTTGACATAATTAATAGTTTTATATGAAATAAATAAATAAACACTTTGGAAAGTCTATAAAAGCTTCGATATGAAATAGAATCAAAAGTTTGTACTCCAATTTATTTATCATGACTTTCTATGTCAGTTTTTAGACAAATCGTCACAAATCAGTTTTGTTTCAGTTTATTCTCGAAGTAGTTCATACATTCTATAGAAAAATTAAAATTAACACGTTATTTTGTTACATAATTAATCTTTTGGCAATCCATTGTGATAGAAAAAAACGTATATCTATAAAAAAATATTGAAAAATATAATAAAAATGTATTTATTAGAAAAAAATATTTTTTCAATTTTTTCTAATAAATTTTTTTATATATCTTGATTTTTTATTTATAAACCTTGCATTAATATTTAGCACTCCACATTTGTCAATACATTTTTTATTTTTTATTTCAAAATATCTTATATCACTTTGTGTGTAACACCGTTGAGTTCTGAATATAATACGAGCTAATCAAATCACATCATTTGAACAACAATTTTCTAGTTTCCATAGAGAAGTCTTCTTATCTCGTGAGCAGTTTTATGTGAACATCAAAAAACATATTTTGGACAGGGTATTTCCATAACACGACACATTTTACACAGATTGATCAGTTACTTACATTCATGATCTCATTTAACTGTATTTTTATTTTGAATTCTTCTATACAAACATTGTACGAGGTAAGTCATTTGCAAATTGTACACAACTTACCCTACATATCAAAGGGAACAAAAGTCTCATACATCCAAAATATACATTAACTCATGATTGTGAATATATATTATCTGTATGTAAACAAGTATACCAAAAAATAAAATAGTAAGCGACTAATTATCATTCAATTTATGTTAGTTACCTCTCACCTTATAAAAATATATAAATTTTTAAAGAGAGAAGTCAATACTTTCTTGGAGAGATTTCATTTCAGAATGAACACCTAAGTTCCTTCATTGAACATTGCACTATCCACAGTGGAAGCTTGTGCCTTTAATCCAATCTTCTCAACATAACCACGACGCATTGGTTCATTTCGCCTCCCGCCACAAAAGTGTTACCTAGAAAACCAACGAAAGACAATGTTTTCTCTCCATCTTGATGGTGTTCCGGCCAACAGAATTATTCCGACACTAATGTTGAATCAAGTGATACTTGTAATTGGAAAAGACATCCGACCCTTGCATCAAAATTGATTTATTAGAATACTTGTGTAAAGTGAAGAATAATTAACATACGTTGAGAGATAACTAATCACCTTCATAGAATTCATAAAACAAAATTCAACCTATGATTATCCGATAACATACAATATGTCCAATTCAACAATTTAGGTGTAATGAAAAATACGCAAAGTTATTATATAATAAGTTATACTGATTGCATACTTAAAGTTTATAAACTAAGAGAAACCATCAAATTTAGAACCATTTCCCGTTGTGGATGTTTAGAATTTATGCTCATTCCAATTGAAGATTATAAGACGTCATTGGCACTGGAGTCGCGTTCTGATAAAGTTTCCTTCATTCCATTTCTCCAAAAGCTAACCTTATTCATCTATATTCCTCATAGAAAATTACATGTGTAGATGTTATTATTCATAGATAAGATATGTATGCATAGCTGACATTACGGTCAACTTTTGAATTCTTTCATCTAATCAGAGACTTGGCTGAAAGAACTAGGGCACCACAATGAATATGGTACACCCTAACCATATCATTCATGAAAAATGTTTTGACTTTAGTTCACTATCCTCAATCAAAGCAACGACACATCGTTCAGTAAACAAGCTTCTGAGAGGGTGCGATTTAAAAAATCAACTAAGATTAAATCATAAATTCATGACGATGCTACTTCAACGTTCTGCTCTTGCAACGCAACAGCACGAAAGGTTACACATTCAACAAGCGCTATACGCTCCATCAGTATACTCACATCATAAACATACATGTCTACGCGATGTAAGCTAATAACGGCTCAGTAACAATCACGAATTTACATACAAAATATTTCCAGTCTCCTGGTATGGTTATCCTGTAACTAATCAGATGGCCTTCAAACTGACCGACGACGTATTCCTCATCAGGATGAATTTGTATCACACCTTTCCTTCACCACAATAGTTTACATTAAGTTTCTCCAGAAATGCTTAGATAAATACTACAATTTTATCCTGCGAGCGGAAAGTATGATTCCAATGAGATTAGAGCAAGAAAACACGATGAAGATTGTGAAAGGCCACAATTCTCTGGATGAAGGCTATATACGTATCACGCTAGAACGGGTATAAACTACGGAAAGGTCAGGCACGACAAGGTACACAAAGAAACATCATACGATAGAGCGAAGAGCATTCACGAGAAAGAAACGCCAGGCAAGTGGAAAAGACAACATACTACCTAGCACTAGAAAGAACTTGGAAACCGATGCGCAAGGACAGCTACCGATCTTCTTGGAGGCCTGAGCCACAACCTACCGGGATATATGCAACTCAACACAGAAGTCCTGATTTGAGGTGCATTCATACTTATCCTGCTCGGCACAGTCAGGAGGTCTGTCCACAGGCAAGGACCCTGTCAGACAAGACAGAAGAAAGGGACGGGAAAGGCGGGGTGTAAATATAGACAAGCGAATCAGTTGCAGCGGAACTAAATTTAGTACACTGTCAAAACATAGATTCAGACTTGGCAAGAAGCGGAAGATGGCAAAATGGAGTCATGGATCTAAATTGCGAAGAAATGAATGGTTACCTACCTTTCGGGGCGAGTTAGTCTGTTGTAGGCTAGAAGCAAGAAACAATGCAAACTACATCTAACGTGTCTTCTCAGGAAAAGATCACAATACCGCATTTTAATATTCCAAAAGCAATACAATGTCAGCTCCTCCCCGTGGGAGTCTTCTACTAGAGAGAAAAGGAGAGACCACCCACAAATATCAAGCCCCTCACTCACAAAAGTTCTCAACATCTACTAACATGTCTAACCTCTTCATGAGGTGCAGGAGGATCGATCACATTTTCCCAGCCACTAATATCATCAAAGTTCTATGCGAGGAATTTCAATTTTTTACAGCATATACACGAGAACTATCCTCATTTCTATACCCAAGGACCGAGCCCCCACCACCACCCCCATTACTACAGAACTTCTCTTTCAACTCAAGGGCATTTGAACCTTGGATTATTCTAAACCTTGGACCTACCACATGCAAGAGTGAGCTTTCAGGCCTGCCCATAAGCTTCTACCGAGTACCTACAAGCTTGCTGCTGCTGCTGCTTCTACGACCTTCGTAGAGGCCCTTGTACCACGTCTGTAAGTCCGTTCTCTAGGGCCCGCACTAAATTTTCAAAATAAGTCCTAGTCACGCTGGTCAATCCTGCTAATTTCGTGCGAAAGTCATTGAATGTGGCCTGTCCCGGTTCTCCATCCAGAAACACGTGTAGGTCCTTCTCTGCGCACTGGTGGAGCCTTTCCAATCCTGCCTCGGCCTCCCCTTGCAAGTACTCGAAGAACTGCTTCTTAGCGTCCTCCTGGTCCGGCAGATAGTATCCGTAAGCGTAGGTCCACTTGAGAACACGACGGCACTCGACGATTTGGAGCCAGGCTTCGGTCACGAACTTGAGCTGCGACACGGGTTGGCACTGCTTGTCACTGAGCTTTTCGATTTGCACGGCCTGCATTTGCTGCAGATCCGTGTGGGCCTTGGCCCGGGACGACTCGTTCGTGGCCCACCGCTCGTAGTAATGCGTGTAACGCTCCAGAGAATTCTTCGCCATGTCGCGCCGGCGGTCGGCCTCATCGTACACGCCCTCCTGTTTGGCAGCCTCGTATCGGTTGCAGGCGTAGAATCCCCCCGTCCGCTCGCCGTGGTCCGTCCAGGCGCCCAGGCACAGCCAGCAGAACTCGAATTTACAAGGCGGAGTGCAGGTAATGTGCATACAGCCCTGGTTCTTCTCGATCGGGCGCTTGCACTTGGGGCAGGGCTTGGAATTCGCCAGAATCCAGTTCATGTTTTCGGATTCGGCGCTGTTCTTGCGAATCCACTTCTTCACCGTGCCGCAGTCCACAGGCCGATGAGCTTCTTCCAGGCAATTCCAGCAGAAGTTAAACGAGCACTTGCAAACAATGTCATACGAGGCGCCCACGCCCGGCACGAAACCTAGAACGGCATACTCACATCCGGGCGCCGGGCACCACTTGGCCTTGCGATTGTCCTCGACGTACGAGCGCAGCAGGTAGCGATTGTACTTGGTGCGATCGTCGGTGCACACCAGAGACAGCACCATGTCCTCGCCGATCGCGGCCCCGCACGACGGGTCGGCGCAGCGCAGCGTCAGGCACCCCGGCCCGTCGTTGATGGCCGTGTGGATGTAGCCGGTCCAGCAGACGTCGCAGAAGAAGTGCCCGCAGGCGGGCTCGGCCTTCATGCGCGAGATGCTCGAGAACGAGTGCGTCTCGAAGCAGATGGTGCAGCGCATCTCCTGCCCGCGGCCCCTGGAGCGGCGCTGGTACTCGGGCCGCGTGGGCCGCACCAGCCCCACGCTCCGGCGCACGCTCTCCTCGTCCGCGAACCACTCGTCGTTCACCTTGCTCACGCTCCACTTGAAATGCCGCAGCAGGATGCCGGCGTCCGTCTTGGACACGGACAGAAAATTGGTGATGGTCGCGATCGCCTCCTCCTGCCGTTGCCGGATGTCCTTCTCGCTCAGGATTGTGTAATTGGCCTGCGGCATGCGCGAGCTCGGGGCGCCATCGTCCGCCGCGAAGTCGTCGAACCCGTAGTCGGCCTCCTCCTTGTCGCTCGAACCCTCGTCGTCCTCCTCTTCGTTGCTGTCGTAGAACTCTCCATCCGATTCTCCGCCCCACGCGTCTTGCATATCATCTTCTGAGTCCATCGACCGCCTTGATGCCCGCTAGTGCGTGTCGATGCTCAGGGAGCTCTTCGAATTTCGCCTACTCGTCTATTCCAGCGATGGGCCGATTCTCGGATCAGTCTTCGGAGCGAGATTGACTCTGTCGATCAATCGGTCTGTCAGTCAATCGGCCAATGCGCTGTACCGTACACCATAGATAGCTAGATGATCACCACTGGGCTCGCCCATCCGCTCGCTTAGCGGCCCGCAACCACACGCGCCCGACTCTGAACACGACGGGAGCCCCCGACGAACCTGTCAATCGACAACACCACAACCTGCGCACACGAAGAACGAGCCCACCGGGCCGAATGAGCCACCGACTACCTTATTCCCCAGCTTCTCAGAGAAAGAGAGATGGACATGGTGCTGGGCACCATGTCCGCCACCACCTCCCGCCCAACAATTGGCAGCAAAAAACAGTTGAGAGCAGTACCAGGCATCTCAATCAAACTGAACCTCCACAACAGACGAAACGAAGAAACTCTACACGGCTCTAGCTCTATCCGGGCGCATCTCTCCATGGCAAAAAGCTATCGAGTGTCAGGCATTTCACACAATCAAGGACATGCTCAACAGAACAAAGACTAACGGGTTCATTGATTGATTGATTGGTCGAGAGCAAACGCAGATTGATTCAAATCGCTGAGTCAGCTGTGCACTCACTAGGGGAGAAGAGAGCTCATCAACAGAACCTCGAGGGGAGAAAACGAGAGGAAACGAGCAGCCAGACAGAAACATAGATGGATAGATGGATACACAGACAGGCACACAGATGGGCTAATCAGATCCAGAAAAGCTGTTATGGAGCGGGGTGGATTGAAAGCAGTCGACTGCAACCTACGCCGAGGGAAGACGACTTTTAGGGTCTGGGATGAGCATCCAGACGCAAAGACATTACGGGGAAAATCACACACTACTGAAATCAGGCTACGCGAAAAAGCCGACGGAGGCGCTGCGATGATAGCTGGAGAAAACAAAAAGGCGAGAATGCCAATATGAAGCAGCTATCGACCACCACAGAAGCCACGACCGAGACCGGGGCCTTCCGGGATGCACGTAAGGAGGAACAGCGAGAGGATGGGCTGGAAAGGAAGAAAGAGAGAAGAATGGAAGCTTGAAGAAAAGGAAGGAAGTGCGAAGGTTAAACCTCGCCGGAGCCGAGGGGAGTTTGCTTGCATATGACAAGTGCTGACCGTACGCTCAGAGCATGAATCAGTAGAAGTAGGAACAGCAGTAGTAGTAGAAGTAGGTGTTCTTGGTTCAACCAGCCACAGATTCTCCATTCACCAAGCGAGCAGGAAAGCAAGCCAGAGCCAGAGCGAGCAAGCGAGAAAGTGAGAGAGAGCTACGGTCGGTCGGAGGAACCTGATCGATATAACCTGAGTCATGCGCTCACACCCTCAAACAGAAGGGCTCACGTCTAATCAGTGCATCAGCTTTGGGTTCCGGATCGAGGCTAAGCGACTGTAGGCCTAGTGGCTCCCTGCGCCTTAAGCAACATAATGCCGATCTCTTGGATAAAGTGCTCTCAAATTCGATCATAATCGACAGAATTCTCCACCTCACGACCATACCGGGGAATCAGAGACGAGGTCGACGCCGAAGGAAGCCAGCCAGCCCTCCAGGCTCCAGGAAAGATAAGCAGCAGCGGAAGCAGCACCAGTCAAGTGCGTCAGTGAAGCAGGAAGGAAAGCTTACCGAAGACGAGCAGAGCTGAGTCGCTTTCCAACAACAGAGATCCAGCCAGACCTTCAGCTTACTCCACTTAACTCGAGTCAGCCTCAGCCAGTCCGTCCCAACAGTAGTCACATTACATGGAAAGAAGATAGAAGATAGAAGAAGAGGAGAAGAATCTTCAGGTAGCTAGTTCCTGCCTGCCCTGCCTGGTCTACGCTCCAGTCGAGTCGATGGAGACTTTCCGCTTACAGTAGCTAAATTTCACCTGACGTGGAGACTGTGCGCACCCCAATAACAGGCGCAGCAAATTGCCAACAGGGACGGGTGAGATGAAGACAAGGTAGGCCCTGATGGAACAATTCGTCATAAAGTGGGCGTTATGTCGTTCTGGCCGGCTAGTTACCGCTGACTGTGATGTGCTACTATGAGATGGATGGCAACTAGACTCCGCTACTGTATCGTGATAGAGGTCTTGACGGTGGGCCGTTCGCGCTCCCTCTAATGAAACTTCCTTTCTCCCGGAGTTGCCAGCCAACCGGGACCAGTGTTGTCGAGACACCTGACCCTGGACAGTTAAGGCGCAGAAAACCATATCGGACCACACTGACCATCCAGATATTTCAATCCCTGTTGAGTGACTTCGCGAGCTTTCGCGAAATATTGACATCGGCCAATGATCGCGGTATATGCCTTTTCCTCCTCCCAGAAAGAAATAACTCAGACGAGATTGCCGAGTAGAGCAGAGTCCGTTTGCTTAAGGTAACGGCGCTTTTCCGTCATCAGACTTGTGGATCGGTTTACAGTGCCATGTCATACCGTCCGACAAGTCCGGTTGCGGCATAGCTTTAAGTTACCTACTCAGAAGATGACAACGAGAATGATTCACATGCCTCGAACCTTTGGCGGGTCCAACTATCCTTTGGCAAAGGCTTCATCCATCGGATTTAAAGTGACTTGAAAGACGGAAAAGCGGGAGATACTCTTATTGCCACATTTTTTATGTACATTTCAGCTTTCGATCTCGAGACACATCCTAAATATTACAAGTATGTTCTTCCGTTGTACAAGCGATACAGGGTGAGCAAAAATGTGCAATTGTTCGGGCACAAGTCCCTACAACTCGTTTGCAATCGCTTCTCTCAATACTAATCTGACTCGGGTACGTTGCTACATGAGTTCAATGACATACACCCGCCGTTGTTCTTCACGAAAGGAATCCTCGTGCCACCCGTCGCTTTTGCGCAGCATTTACTTAACTGTGGAATCCTGCACATGTACAAAGTAGACGTGAGACTCTTACTTATATATTTGATCCTTTATCATTTGGAATTCCCATCATATACAGATGAAATTTTCAAAGCCGCGAGTTGAACTTAACTTCAAACCTGTAATCCTAGATTATATGCAGATTGATACCGATTAATTTTCAAACAGAGAGAAAGACTAGCTTGCAGTCATACTACTTTTGAGACTTATAACGATACCGAAGTTACATATATATGAGATTATTAGAAGTTACATATATATGAGATTATTAAATTCACCCCGTCGCGGCTGTTGTCATGGCAACAATACATGTCAAAATTCAGTGTTTATTCTCGTCACGTCTAGGATCGATTCCGGCCACTTTCTCATTTTTCCCTGTGCACAACCTCGTATGCATATGGAGGAAACACCGGAATCTGCTGCTGTTGTGGAGCTTGAACACGCACTGGACCGGCTCAACCAAATTTAAACATCTAAAAGAGGTGTTTTTATGCAAGGTGCAAACCTTATGTATGAATAATACCTAACGAGGTGTTATTCATACATGGTACTTTGCAAAGCATCGTTTAAATTGAACAGTCTTGTTCCATGACAACTGTCGCGACAGGATGAATTGTTAAATTCATCGCATTGTTAAGTTCGGTGGTGAATTGAACAATTCCCAATATATAAGTGTGTATATATATATAACCAGAAACACGAGTACTAGATACATAACAAGAACTCAATACAACCAGCAGAACTATCACAGACGAAAAGCCACTAAATTGAAGCCCTCCTCTAACAAAAACACTTCAAGCATGATAAGAGTTATATACTGAAACTATGGCATAGACTTAAACAGCTCTTGAGTCGAGATTCCAATGTTCTCCACGTAAAGTGAAGGCGGAAGTAAAGATGGTTAGATACTTCTCGGTAACAGTGATGTTAAAGTCATGATATCTGAGTCTTTGGTTCCAGAATGTGATTTGGATGGTGTTTGGTGTAACTTTTGATCTACTTTCCATTATGCCATCCAAAAAAACAAAAAATTAAAAAAATTTATTAGTGTTTCGTTTTTTTGATGCTATGCTTTGAAGAAAATGAAAAAAAAGCTTTGAGTTTTGAAACTTCATCCTCATCCTTAAACTGCAGGTTAAACGTATAAATCTATAATAACAAGCTATTCTCGTGCAAAAAATATATTGCCCTCTATATACTATGAAGTAAAATAGACCAATAACATATATAAAATCTAATGAGATTTTGTTCACAATAATACCTAATAGATTCCGGACTGTACTGTTATGGTAAGAGTGATAGACCAAATAACACTCCTAACTCAAAGCAGTACCAAGCCTGTTTTATTGTAGAGACTAGAAACTAGTAACTAGCTAACAATAAACTAGTAAACTAACAATAACATCCAGGGTTTATGTAGGCACTCTCAAACCCGATACGTTAGGTGGAGAATTCTTAAATTCAGGGCAAGTAGCTGAGAATTATTTAGACGGGGATTCGCGCTGACTTTGCTAGGATAAAGAACGACCCTAGTCTACAACCTCAGCTTTGTTGGCAACCAGGCTCGTTCAAACAGCTTATGAGCTTAAGATGTGGTTTAGACTCTTGTATCTAGCAATATAGTTCAAAGGTTTCAATTTCAAGTCAGAAAGAAGTGGAGGTTATACAATCCACTATCGAGCAAACTGGATTATGGAATTGTATTTATAAAGAAGTTGTAAGATATAATAGAACCCATAGTTTCAGGGTAAAATCTAATCCTATCCTTCTTTCTTTATGAGTGGAAGTAGATACAAAGTGAGTGGAAGAAGTTTTTGCTCTATTTGCAGTAATATACCACCAATTGGTAGCTAGCTACACCTGCAACTTCTTACAATTGTGGCATACCCAGCCACCTGCACCAATCCCAAAGTAATGCCGCCCTTCATGTCATGACTCCTTTCATTTCCAGATGGGATGCAGCAAGACAATCACGATATGACCAGAAAATAAAAGATTAAACTCAAGAAATTCGTGGGTGGCTCCATTCTAAACAAATTGTTTATGTACTCTCTTTAATCATTGTGTATATACAGGCATGGTTATTTTAGGCGACCGTATACCGAGGCGCCTGAATTACCTAAATGGACTCTCCCTCTAGCACCAAAATTAACCGGAGCATCGAGATTGTAATTGGTTCAAAATTGGAGCGTGGTAGATCTCAGCCATTCAGCTGTGATGATTGTTAATCAGTTTGTTAGCGCGTCAGTATCATAGCTTACAGAGATCTACATCGTGAAATTGAATACCCAACTTTTGAATGAAACATCCGCAATCAAGTTTCTTATAGAAAAGGAAGATATAATCTAAGAAAAAAACTTACACAATATTTCACTCATTCAAACTACACATTCTATATAGAACAGTATATGTAAACACTGAGTAAGTGAGAAAATACAACATAACCAAATTTTGATTTGTAGGGTCTCTAGTATGACTGCACGACTATGTTCATATCTCATTGACTAGGAGCTTCGGAATATAGCATTTATTGAACTTTTACGATAGCAAAAAAGGATCTCATGGAAGTAGAAAAAAGTCTCACTGATAAAAATTATCACTCATTCTAGGATGAATCTTTAACTCTTACTGAATCATATATATGTCTGAAAAACAGAAAACAACACTAATACAAAACTATAATCTCTCTCAATTGTACTGATGATATAAATGAAGACGAGGGAGACGTTCACTTTTGATGGGTTTCATGTGGCAAATAGTCAGAATTAGTAGCAATACAAGCTTAATTTCTTCTCTACAAAAATATCTTCTTACTATTACGACTTGGCAAAATTCCGTCACCATAGATTCAACTGTACAACCAATCAAAAATTGAAATAAATCATTATTAACAACACTCACCTTCCTATTTGATTCAAAAAATTTAGATGCAATCAATGATTAATAGACTACGCTTTGTGTACAAACATAAAGCATACACTAAATATGATCAATTAATTAATCACTGGAGTAGCAAAGATTATTAGTATGCGCCAACAACAAATTATATTTGCAAATTTTTATATCTCAAACCTATTGCGTAGATGTACTATGCACGCGAATTTCACACTCAGTCCAATCAGTTTATACTCGTTCTCATTCAAGATCTTTGTGATCTGAAGACTTGTTTTTACTTCGTTGTCACGATATGATAGTAGTTCTTTTAACCCCACTACAACAAAGTTCGATCCAAGAATTTTCTCCTATCTCAAACCAAGAAATATAGTAAACAGTAGGGTTAACAAACCAAACACTACCGTAGCAATATTCAATATACAGCTCCAAGTTACCAAGAGAAACGACTACAAAAATTACTATCGTATCATTTGCAATTTAAGTTAAGATCTATTTACCAACTGATTATTGGTAATGAAAAGCATGTATAATCTTCGAGCTGGAAGTTAAAACCGCCTCGTCACATGTTTTTGTCGACCTATACAGTGGAACATGGCGGATGGCAGACCAACCTTGTTGGTTTCTTGCACCAGCTTTCTCTAGACGAAAACTATAAACATTTTGAGTAATTATAGTATAATATGATGTCTATAAACATAGTTAGACACTACTAATACAGTCTGTAGACTCAGAAGAATATACTAACTACCACCACCTCAAGATCTCACATCTCACAAGATTGACTAAAAGAGGAATTAAATTCAATATCAAATCTCAGTAGATATTACTCTTCAACTTTCGACATGAAAAATATTAGATTTGTAATAAACTGGCATCTTCCATTCAAAACCAATAATGTTAGGCAATAAGATGGAGAAGTGAGAATTTTTAAATAGATTATGGGAGTACTCTTTTACAAGATACTAATTAGGTGTTTTTAACTTTCCTCTTTTTACCTTGTAGATCAGCGGATATAGCAGTCGACATGTAACCTACAGTATATTTGTCTTCAACATCTGACCCAAGCTAAGAATTTATGCATTTAAGTTCTACTAGAGTATTTCTCTTCTGTATTTTAGATGATTTACATTAACTTTTACTTATAAAATTTAGTACTATATATAGAAGGGAGAGACCATACTTAAAATATAACTATCTACTCTTTTACAATTTAAATACTAGGTTTTTTTTACTATATCCCTATTACAATAGGGAACAGGGGTGTAGCATTCACCGTTCTCATTCCTTACCAGACTGGACTACAATGATCAATCATCCGAACAACATAACAGATTCATCCGCACGATTTATGGCAGTCTTTCATCTTCAGATTTATTGACTTGAACTATGTTCAGATTATTGAGTTAAACTTTACAATTCTATTTAACTGTATTGAACTGTATAGTGTGAGAATATCTGATTAGATTAGGTCTACCGTCCAGATTTGAGTAAATATACTCAAACTAAAAAGTAAAAGCTCATATAGAGCCATCTGGTTGTGAACGATCTATCATATCTGAACACGATGCTAAAAAATTCACATCATCACACATAAGATAACACCACATCTAATAACCATATATTTAAATAGCTCGCAGTCTGGAATTTTATTTTCAGTTTAAGAAGAAGTGTAGAATTTCATAATTAAGAGAAAAATTCCATAAAACACGCACCACCACATGTACTAACCATATAAAAAAATAATTCTTAGTATTGGCTTTTACTTCAGGTCTAAGCGTATGCATGTGTAGAGATTTGTACTCAAAATTAGATATCACACTTTTCTATTTATCTCAAAACATGGTTTCCTCTATAGATAGAAGATGTAAATCTTCTAAGGATTGATACAAATATATGCAAAGGATATATCAGTAGTTGTGAAGCCTATAATTGCAAATATATTCAAAAGATGTTTTAGTCGTTGTCAACCAAGTGGATTTAGATAGTTACATAATAGCAGAGTTCATACTATTAATTTGACCTTTTACTAAAGACACTGAAGGTGTGATTATAGATATTGAACTAGTTACATAACCTCCCACCATCTCCAAGACTCTTTTTTCCAAGATCTCCCTACTCCTAAACAAAAGTACTGACAACAATCTCACGGCAAGAGTTTAGATATAGTCAAATTCCCTTCAAATATAATAAAAAAAACGTATCCCAACCATCATCTTACATTCCACATTATTTTCTTCCAATCAAATCAAATTTCTTTCAAGTTTTTTATCCCTTCTTTCTCTTGCTTCTTCAACCTTGCTTGTACTGCTTCTTTGTCCTTGTAAGTCACTCACTAAGTACCTTACATGATTACTTTACACCAATGTAACACTTACCTATACTCAATCTTGAGAATAGGTAAGTATTACTTCTTAAGTCCATAGCTTAATACCGATGTAACACTTACCTATTAGTTTATAATTTTGATGATAAGTCTCGAACTATAGTTCAATAACGAAAGATAGGTACATCATAAAATCATAACATTGAGCTTTCTTACCTTATTTATCGCTATATTTATCATGTTAAGCTTCATCACATGTCATATTGGTGATTTCTTCCACTAAAAAAAATAGAATGTGGTATAAACAGATTTACCTCTAAGTTGTAATACTTAAATTGAAACTAATATTTGTAGATAACATGACTTTTTTTCTCACAATAACGAATGAACAACCTTGATAGCATGTAATGATTTAGTGATGCACCCTCATATTAAGATAAGTAACTACAACCAACAGATCTTCAACTCCATACTTACGATACAACAATGACAGTTTACCCAAGCTAAGTAACTACAAGCAAAAGAATTTCACACTAATCATACCAACCAAAAATGTTTGATTAAGGAAATGATGGTATCACTTCATTGATCAGCGATCCAGTTTTGTAGTACGAACATCTACACCGTTTTGATGTTGGCCAATTTTTGTGATGTGTTAGATGAGATTCATTCACAGTTCAAATATAACATGATACTTAATTTTTGAGAGTTCATATAGATGGAGAGTTCTGTGATCTACAAAATCAAATAGCATATCCTAATATTCAACGATAAAATCAAACCTCCAAACTTTAGCTACAAATACTAGTATGCGATATAACCTAATTTAGACCGGAGTCATCTTCTGCGCATGAAAATGATATGATCGTGTGCACAATCCTAAGCAGGTCACCTTCAACCAAATGCAAAGGCAACAATCTTGAACGATCATCTAATGATAATATACGCGTAAATACCGTTTTCAAGATTTCATGCGTGTATCAAATCTGATTCAAGAGGATTGAAGTCATACTTATAATCGGAAGTTCAGAAAATTTTAAACCTTGGATGCAATGTGAAAGACTCATCATCATCCCCTCTCTGTACGGATGCTAATCCAGCATTAATTCGAAGTTATGAAAATCATGTTAATATATATCAGGATAAGCACACGATACTTCATAACAATACACATATCCAACAACCCAAAATTCCTCAAACTAGTATCTACCTAATATGCTAACTTTTATGAGTTGAATTTCACCTAGATATGTTAAAAAAGTAATACAATCTGAATCTTAGTAAGGATAGAATCTGAATCTTAGAAGAGTCAACATCGAAGAAATTTACTGATGTGAGATTTTGAATCTGATATTTTTCTCTACACTATAAACAATACTACACATCTCCCACCTCAGCTTTCATTACCATCAGTAAATCTCTTACGATCCAAATGAAGATAAAAATTCGATACAAACATTTATATAGGTGAACTGAACTACTTCTTGAACCAGTATTATATCCACAAAGATAGAACCAATTACATACTTGGATGCATTTCCTAACATAGCGACTCATACATTCAGGTTGAAAAAGACCCTCTCCTAGTGCACTACTTCATGACACTAGTCCACCTTTAAGAAGATTAAAACTGAAACCTTATGAATATCTGTACCTCACCCGTTGTATTACTCCTTTCATACTAAATAAGTGTCACATACTAGTCCATCTCTAAGAAGGTTAAAATTGAAACCTTATGGATATCTGTACCTCACCCACTGTATTACTCCTTTCATACTAGATAAGTGTCACAGTTAGTCCAACTAACAACTAAGATCCGAATCTTCTTCATATCAGTCACAAAACTGTAACTCTTACTATTTCCTATCATCACTTGGAGGGACAGTTAGACCGTGGTTGTACTTTTAATAAATTGTGCTACAATACATTTCTTACATTTAATAACAGATCCACACATTTGATCCCATTGTTGTATTTCCAAATAGTCAAGGATATGAAAATGCAGAGGTAAAAACCAATGAAGATTTATTACATCTGATAACTGATATCAGAAAAATAAATTCTATCCCATTGTTGTGTTTTCAAACACTCAGGGAACTGAATATGCAGAGGTGATAACCAATGAAGCATGGCCACACCATACCTTCTCATCAGCGTATAATGATCCGATGGACTGAATCTTTACCTCCCATGAAGTCACTCTTGAATTCAGCACAATTTTCAACATTCTCGAGGTATTATTGTTCAAAATTTTCTCGATGTGATATTGATCAAAAGATTGGTAGCAGCAGCAATAAAAGGAAAAGATTAAAATATCAGGATAAGTAGATCCACACTAAACAATGGAGGTAAAACACTCTGCCAACGTTTCTTAGTTAGGCCGGTAGAAAACATTATACACTTGGATCTCCATACGGACAACGATAAGAGGAAATCAAGAGGAAAGGTCAACCGGGAATCCACAATGCGAGCCTCAGTATTAATACCAATACCAAGTAATTTTACTCGGTTAGATTCCTTTCAATCTAAGTCTCACCTTCCATGACAAACCCATCCAAATTCAATCACCTTAACTCAAATAACAGCCTATTCCTGTTGCTAGTTTCATCAATCCTTATTTCATTTATTAGAATTGTGGGATCAACTCACCGGATTTTGAACTTAGAAAAGACCTCACACCTCCCTTCACTCTAAACCCATCTCCTGCCCTTGAAGTCATCCTTTTTTACTAGAGATCTACTGAAAGGGGAACCACATGTTAAAGGTTTAGTATTCGCCCTTGGCATTGAACTTGTACCTAACAAGAAAGCTCAAACAGAACTTCACTGGAGCTTGACATGGAAAAGGACTGTCTTTTTTTATAGCTGAACTTATATCTAACGAGTAAGATCCCTCGATGCAAGTTAATATAGACAGGGAAGCATTCATCGTGTAATCAAAAAAGAAATGGGCAAGTATTATCTTAGCTGTTCAGTTACTGCAAACACTGAGCCTTCGCGAATTACTGATTTGGGCCTCTGTAAGAGATTATTATTGTTGAGGAGTTCTCTTTCTCCATCTTAATCTGGCAGTAACACCTTCATCTCACGTCTAGGAAAAGGGCTGCGGTACCCTTACTGTCAGAGTACAGCAAGTACTGATACTTAAGTACTTGCTGGGCTGGACGGTCTTACATCTATATGGTGTCTTTGAAGAAGGAACTTCTTTACACTCTACCTCCAAAGAAGAGAATATAGTTATATACAATTGGGCCCATCTCCACACCATAAGTAGTGTTTTTATTGTGAGATCTCAAAACTTCAAAAGCAGATTCTTGAAAGATTTTGCCCAAAAAAATTCAACAAATGTATTATACTACTGACTTGGAGAGCGTTAATTAAACCTGCTCACCTTCAGATTAGATGTATCCACTGAATATTTGATAGCATCCGCAGCATCTCGTGACCCCATATAGAATTCTCCCGTTCTCGACACCTATCAACAACCCAGAACACTCTGAGGTGAGGAAAGGAAGGTCAAATTTTGCTCTTAACTGGTTGAGAACGTAATAATAAGGACTGAAATAAATGACAAAGTTGATTACAGCAGATGTCATCAAAATACCCTATACCTTAGACCACGTATAGATTTGAAACCACTTGGCCTTTCCACAGTTAAGATTTTGCTCCTGCTCGATGAAAGCTCCCGTTTGCCTCTCGAGTCCTTGCATGAACTCCGAAGAATATCCGGAAGCACATTCAAGCTTCTACTCCAAAATCGAAAAACAGCGGTGATAGTTTACAATAGGTGAGAGATACTGTGAAGAAAGAAAGGGCTCAACGACAAATTGGTTGTTCGCAGGAAAATAGCCTTCGGTTTTCCTGCTCTTACAGCTACACAAAGCCGTAAACTTACTACTACCTTCGCCTGCTTCCCTGAGCAACGTGGCTTCCCTGAGCTCCTTGTCCTTGTACAACATCTTGTAGTCCATTTTCCAACGCCCTAACTATTTTCTCGAAATACGTTCGTGTGACACTGGTCAATCCTGCTAATTTCGTGCGGAAATCATTGAAATTATTTTGCCATGTGTCTCCCTCCAGAAACTCTTGAAGATCCTTCTCTGCACACTGATGCAGCCTTTCCAATCCAGCTTCTGCCTCTCCCTGCAGGTATTCGAAAAAGTGTCTCTTGGCATGCTCATGGTTAGGAAGATAGTATCCATAAGCATAAGTCCATTTGAGAACTCTTCTACACTCCACAATCTGGAGCCACGCTTCAGTAACAAATTTCAACTGAGACACAGGCTGACATTGCTTATCACTAAGCTTCTCAATGTGCACAGCCTGCATTTGTATGAGGTCGGAGAATGCTTTTGCCCTGGACGATTCGTTCGTAGCCCATCTTTCGTAATAATGCGTGTAGCGCTCCAGAGAATTTTTAGCCATATCTCTCCTGCGATCAGCTTCGTCGTAAACACCCTCTTGTTTAGCAGCTTCATACCGGTTGCAGGCGTAGAATCCCCCTGTTCTTTCACCATGGTCAGTCCAAGCTCCAAGGCAAAGCCAGCAGAACTCGAATTTACAAGGAGGGGTGCAAGTAATGTGCATGCACCCTTGGTTCTTCTCAATAGGCCGTTTGCACTTCGGACAAGGCTTCGAATTTGCGAGTATCCAATTCATGTTTTCCGATTCAGCGCTATTTTTTAGAATCCATCGTGCTACTGTCTCGCAGTCCACAGGACGGTGCGCCTCTTCCAAGCAATTCCAGCAGAAATTGTGAGAGCACTTGCACACAACGTCATATGAACCTGCACCAGAAACAAACCCTAATTCTACGGCATACTCACAACCTGGAGCAGGACACCATTTCGCCTTTCGATTGTCTTCGACGAAAGATCTCAACAAATAGCGTTTGTACTTCAGCCGATCTTCTTCAACAACCAGCCCCAACACCATGTCTTCACCGATGGCAGAACCACAGACGGGATCAGCACAGCGCAACGTGAGACATCCGGGTCCATCATTGATTGCTGTGTGTATGTAACCTGTCCAGCAGGTTTCGCAGAAGTAATGTCCACAGCCTGGCGATGCTTTCATTCTCGACAGGGGATGCATCTCAAAACAAATTGCACACTTCAAGTTCTCAGTCTGAGATCTTCTGCGATTCTCTGCCCGCGTCGCAGTCAGACCAACACATTTTCTGACACTTTCTTCATCGGCAAACCACTCATCGTTCACCTTACTTACGCTCCACTTAAAATGTCGGAGAAGAATTCCCGCTTCCATCTTTGATACAGACAAGAAATTAGTGATCGTATTGATCGCTTCGTCCTGTCGCTGTCGAATGTCGGCCTCGCTCAAAATCGTGTAATTCGACTGGGGCAGCCTCGAACTGGGATTAATATCGTCATCGGCGGCAAAATCGTCAAAACCGTAATCCGGCTCATTGCTCTGACTAACTTCTTCATCCTCTTCTTCGTTCTCATTAGATAAATTTCCATCGGATTCTCCTCCCCAAGCATCCTGCATGTCATCTTCCGAGTCCATCAAGGACGTTTAGGGCTTAGAGTGCGAATCGACGTTCTTCCGGGGGTGGGAATAGCTTCGTAGATTCCTCGCTTATGGACGAGGGCGGAGAGTCGACTCAATGCGGAGATCACAAGATGCGACCGAAAAGCTTTGCCTACGAGGCCGAGAGATATAGATTACAGCATAGTTCCAGACATAAGAAGCTCCGGGGCAAAGTCAAACGAGGAGAACACACACGGCGATCGGGCATGTATGGAACCAAGACAACTTATCAGTCGAACCACTAGGGGAGATCACCCGTTCGGTCCGAGGAGGAGCTACGCGCGGAACGCTGCAGCCGGGTGCAAGAAGAAACAAAATTTGTCTGCTAATCCGCAAATTGCCACGCGACCAAGCAGAGATCGCGATGCGCTCGTGCCCGGCCAGCACCGTCCGACTCCAAAGTCTTAGGGAAAATCCACCCCCGGATGAGCTTTGAGAGCACAAAGTCAAAAGAAACGACAGAGGCGAACGCGGGCGCACGCCGAGTTCGGGGGGAGACCAAATCTCCAATGAACAGAGCAAGACTCTCGCCGGCGTCCGGGACAAGCGAGCCCGCCTACGTGCTGCGACGACGACGACGACGCTGCATTCTCCAGGCGCGCGGACGACGGGCGACGGACGGAGCGGGCAGGAGAAAGAGAGAGAGCGAGCGCACGCGAAGAAGCGGCGAGCACAACCTTTCACGGACGAGCTCAACGCGGAACGTTCGCTCTTCCTCTCGCTCGAAGGCACGCACGCACGCACGCCGAACAAACAGACGAGGCTGCTCCCTGCCCTTCTCTCGCCCTCCCTCGACCCCTCCCCCTCCCCCTCTCTCTCTCTGGTGGAGGCCGAAAGTTCGGTTTGGTTTGGACCACGACCGACAGACGGTCCGAACGCCGAGCACGCTCCCTGCCTCCCTCCGACTCCAGCACAGTCATGCACTGTCCATGTTCTATTAATAGGTCACTACGTCCTGATCCGCCTCTCCATTCCCTCCCATACGTACTTGGCACACGGCGCTTTGCTTTCCGCCTTCTCTTCCTACATTAATTCGACTTTTACTCTCCTTTACCTCCGGGTCTATCTCTGATCCGGATGCCTCTGCTAGATTAAAATCCGGAAAATTGATCCTATAATAATTGATACCGAAAAGAGTGCAAACCATATCAACCTGCACTCGGTTGAAACCTGTTGCTACTCCACCAATAGCGTCTTTTTGAAAAATAAATACGACAACGCATAATATATTTGAAGTACATAACTCACTCACCATCTATGTAAACAACATCGAATCCAAACAATCATCATCTATTGTCTGACTTGATTGGCACGAGGTAGTGCTTTGTGCAGATGGAAAAAGACACGTGGTCAAAATATCACCGATGAGCTTTGTGCGGTTGATAAGTCTCGCTACTGAATGTTTCATGGGTTCGGTGATTTCGGTGAGTACATCAGAGGCACTTCACTTCACTCTTTCTTCGATATAAATAATTAAATAATGCACAGATCTACATTCATGAGTATAAGTGTGCTATATACGTCGAAGAACAATTACACGTATTGAAAGTTGGAATTCGTCCTGACAACTATCCACCAATGACGGTATTTTATCTATTAAAGTTAAAACAATATGAATTATCACATTGCAGCATGTGATAGAGCACCGATTTGAAAAAAAAAAATCATTCTTCAAATGAGATATTCTTGTTGAACACAGAATCTGTTAAAGGCATACACATTCATGGTCTTCTTAATTTTATAATACTCGTTAGAATGTAACTGCGTCGTATAACATGGAAGTTTAACTTCTATATCTACTTTCTGAAGTAGATGACTATATTTTGTAATTTGTGTAATCATTTATAAACTTGATTGTGTTAATCTACATCAATCCCATCACAAATAAAATTGAATTGAACACTACATGAGGAATATAATAAAACAATTGCATTTACATATTTCACAGTTGCATATAATTTCGCCTCTTCTGTTCGTTTTCTCAGCCGCATGGTATGTATTTATGAAGTCAATATATGAATAAGATGTAATGAATTGATAAACACATTTGATAATCCGATAAATTGATTACGTTCAAAAAATATTATATTTGTAACATGTGTATTCAAATTAAATCCTTCTTTGTCATGTACTCATAACTCTCTGTCATGAATATGTCAATTCATCATACATTGAAATCTGTAAATCTAATAACAAATGTACTTTCAAATTTTTTCTTGTACTTAATGTAATGTATAATTAATTTATAGTTAAATTATACATCATGTGATTCATGTTGCCTTTTTTCATCTTATAATGAATCATTTGGATACAATTCTATATGATGTAATTACTCCTTTAAAATTCTAACATATTTAGTCCAAAAAATCACTATTTAATATATAAATAACAATTATACAAAAAATATATTTAACACACTGTCTGCAAAATCTTTTTTGAGTATCTGATCACCTGTCTTAATTTTCATTAACAAAGTATTGATTAAGACGACCGGTTTATAGATTAACCTAGGAATAATTTATCTAATACAAAATATAATTATTTACCATATCAAAAGATATTGGAAATTTCAAAATTTGTTCATATGATCATTAAAGATATACATGAATATTTAAAAAAAACTGATGTATACGATATAAATTATATTTACTATCAATTTATGGGATAATTTCCATATATCAAGATTGGAGTGATTTATATTATTAGTCTTAAAAAATGTAATAAAATGTTGCAAGATACTGTCGACAGTAGATTTATAACATTCCCGACCTTTATATTTATGTCAAGATTTGACACATGCCTATTTAAATATCTCAATCTGGGTTCAATGAGGTTATTGATTGATATATAGCATAATCATTTTTTTCAACACATCAAAAGTTTATAGATTCACACATTTCGATTTTTCATATATATTTTACAGTTATCTCATACTAATTTTTAGATGTCTAAATTTTCATAAATTTCAGATGTAAAAAAAATCTAGCAAAAATTGATATTTTTGCTCAATTTCGTAGCGTTTTTTTATGATCAATGAAAGTCATAGAAAAAATATTAAATAATCAGTTTGCATCATTTAAAAAATCATTTTCTGAAGAAGGAAAGCATTTATAAAATAACTTTTTATTTTACGTATCATGATAAAGAATCAATAATTTTCATTTCAAAAAAAATATCAATATAAAATTTTAATATTTTCTGTATCATTATATCACCATCGCATTGGTCACATTCTAATAATTCTAGATTTTCATTTTAGATTTGAGTATCCATGGTTCATGTCTTTTGAATCAAATTCAAAACCAACATAGAGAACGGAAGAGTTTGTTTCTTGGCCGATCAATTGGATGCATACTAAACATTAAAGAGTTTTTTTTGTTTAATTATAAATTTTGTTATTAAAATCATTGTCGCAATTTGGATATTTTTGATAATTTTTGTATAAGATGTACGACTGTGTAAAAAGCTAAAAAGATATACTAATCATTTTTGTTTGAAAAATCTTTATCTTGAAATCTTTGAACCTTTCAATTTTGTTTTATATTTTTTGGTTTTCAATTTTTTTGCATTGCTTGATGCATTTGAAAAGCTTTTAAGTAAGCAAATTTAAAAATCTGGAAATTTTATTTTTTACATATCTATTAAAAAATCATCAATATTATATAATTGATAAATATTTATGATTTAAAAAATTAGTAGAAAATCTCAAATTAAGTTATCATGACTGTTAAGATTTTAAAAGAAGGCATGTTAACTTATATTTATCAATACTTTTTTAATATTTAATTTCATAAAATCACTTTAAAATCACAAATAAGTTCTTTCTAACGAAATTAATGAAATTCCAAACTAATTTAGTGTACTCATGTCAATGACACTTATTTTTTAAATGAGGATGCACTTTAAATTTTTGTTGAAGTTGAATGTTTCCAAGTATAACTAGGATGTAATAATGATTTAATATGGAATTTTACTTTTGTTTTCTCAAACAATATTTGTCTCAACAGTGACATACTCCTCTACTATTAGTAAAGATGGAAAGATTGTTCTGAAAGTAGAATATGCTGGTTCGTGATGTATGACAAGGTTGTGATAATATAAATTTGTTACTAAACCTATCAAACATAAACAAACTACAGATATTTTTCATTAAACAAGGTATAGACGTCATTTTCTTGCTTTCTATAACCTGTAAGACCACACTATAGAGTTTAAGATTCCGATACTTCCAATATTGATTTTGCGAAGTCAATAGACTTACCCATGATTATCCCGGTTATCGTCAAATTTTCTAAAACTGACTACTCGTCCACATGATGATCAATTTCCTCAACCAATTGGATATGCGTAGTATACACAGCTTCTTATTTTCAAAGTACAATTTTGATTTCTCTCCGTAAGAGAAGTTTCATCCATATTCGCCATGCTTCTACAATGTTCCAACTTTGATCTTACAGCGTTGGTAATTTTTTTGTCTTGAAAAAGTGATCTTATAAAAATTAAAGTTGTGCAGTCATCCACATCATTTTATCAAACATATATTATAGAACATGCGTTCAGCTTCATAACCGTTTAATCCTCCACTGTCTTCATATACATATTCCGCAGATTTTATTGTTTTGTGCTCATCGCAATCATCATTGCTATCGTACTGAATATATTTCTTATTCAGATTCTTCTGAATGATGATTGCTTCCTCCAAAAATGGAATACACATAATCTCCATGATACATTTGGCATCTCATAAACTACATTGACGGCACTGCTTTAGTGCAATACGAAAGTTAAAAACATTCAATGTTTAAATAATCTATTTGCAATGTGAACTCTCACGACAGTAAGATGAGAAAGTATATCTAGATAAATCGTACTTCACCTTTCGTTGACTGTTGAACTTACTTCTATCTGTTCGTAGGTCTACCTATTTATTACATACATTTTTAAGTCAACCGTAACCGCAATAGAAACTAGTGTTTCTCCTTGAAGTTTACAGGGCACCGTCAAGTTTTTTATGGGCCCAATATAAAATTCCACAGGACTTATTCAAAGAAGCACTGTTTCATAATTAAATTGGTCATTTGAATCAAGGCAGCATTGTAGCAGAAAATGAACTTCAGCTACACCTAGTGTGCAGATAGGTTCAAAAAGGTTTGATATTTGACAGCGGATCAAATGCTTCAAGACAGAGCATAGAATTTATATAACTTACTCAAGTGGTTAGCGACTTTCCCGTGACCTTCAAGTTCAATTTTCCATCAACCATATAAATAAGAAAATAACTCCCAGAATTAGTAAGTATGACCTACTTCTTTGATATTGAATATAATTTATATACAAGAGCTACAGAACCGACCGCCGATCACATGCAAGACAGTCTGATTGTGATATGTATCCCCAGCTATGACAAAACTTTAAAAAACATAGCTTCTTGATATGGAACAAACATTTTGATATCAGTAGATTGCGAATAATATTTGTGTATTAAGACCATGCTAAAAATGTAGTATCTATTGAAGGCTACTTCAGCTTGGACTTTTTTCTCAAATAGGTTTCAGATAGTTTTGGCATGATTTGTCAAGAGACAAGATAACCAATGGTATACCATGTTGGCATCAATGCCTCAAAGGAGGTGAGATCAATCTCTTGTCTTGGAGATTGATCTCACATGGACAGTTGGCCATTCATTGTCCAATCTGTGAATTCAGGCCGCAGCCAGGTTTCTTGCAACCCTTACTGACCTCTCTCACCACTTTCCACTCCCTTTAGGCTTGGCCACGTAAACCCTCATGAGATTGCTTGGGGAAGCAATCAGGTATGGAAAAGGTTGTACTTTTCACATCTTCTAAGCATGGCCTCTCCTAGTCTCCCTCTCTTGGTCCAAGTTAAAGTGTACAATGCAGGCCCACGTACCATTTCTTCCTCAAACCTACCGCCACCGCAAAAACTAAATTTCAGTGTTTTCATGCTCACCTATATAGTCCAAGTTCGAATCGATCCAAGCTTTGTGGCGTTCAATGGGTGCTAAATTCAGTCAACGAGTCAACAAATCGATTGCCTAAGGATCTACCAGACAGTGGGTTCACCTAGTAGGAGAATACATAAAAAAACACATCGTGCTTGGAATGTGCTATTTTCAATCAGGAGCAATAGCCTGATGCCATTTTCTTCTACTTTAATTTGATGGTATCTATTGTATCGTATGTTGTCTGCAAGTTGTGTAACCCTATTGGACCCTTTGTTGACGAAACGAAAATATCTGTCGCAGGCTGCTTATAGTGGTTTCATAAATTAACTATAATCCTTCACGGCGATCCCGCTGAATGTTGTATACGTAGCGGACTTTGGAATGCCACCCCTCAAATTATTATATGGGTTATACACCAATCCCTCTCCAGGTTTTATGAAAAGTCTATTTTTTCTCTCGGTACTCGAGTAGAATATTGGTAATTACGTCTGTCTAGATTTATTAATAGAATTCATGTTCATCTCAGCAGTAAAAGAATTTTGGGACGGGAGGAGGATTTTATTGCGCTAGTTTACATCCATTCCCGTCCATTAATTTGTGGGTCTATCTGGGAGCCCTCTGATACTATGACTATTTCGAAATGGATGTGTTAGCATACTCGTACCTTTAGGGTCGGACTGGATGGAGAGAGTTATCGGACCGAGGGAGACGGGCTTACGTTGAGGTGTGGAGCTTTTGGGGAGCTGAACGAAGGGTGCCGGCGTAGCAGACATCAGTCTTGGAATTCGACCGCATTTGAACATGTTCAGCAACGAGGGGCGGCAGAAGGAGCGAACGGGAAAGTACGGCACCCCTCGCGTCGAGTATCTTCAAGAATTGGTGACCGAATTCCAACAAACTGTCAGCGAAGAAGCCAAAGAGCAAATCGTCGCCCACTTGGCGAACTTCGGCTACGATCCCTTGAACTATGAATACCTGCGGCAGCTTCACGTGCTGGACCTGTTTCTGGATTGCTTAACGGAACCGAACGAGAAACTAGTGGAGTTCGGTGTCGGCGGAATTTCCAATTGCTGTCCGGACCCAGCCAATGCTGCCGCAATCGTAAGCAGCGGTGGCATTCCTCTGTTGGTGTCATGTCTATCGAGCGCAGTGGAGAACACCGTCCTGTCCACGATCACCAGCTTATACTACTTGTGTACCCCATCAACCAGTAAAGAGATTTTGGATCCTCTCGTTGTCGAGGCTATCCGCGGCTTTGCAAACTCCGATGCCAATTGCCGTTCCCGGAATGTTGCCAGAGCGTTTATTGAAAAATTCGTCGACGGTAGAAGATTGTGCTCTAAGTGATCACACCCATACGTAGTGGCTGCGTGTCCTACAGCTAGGGCTCAAGAAACCGTCACTTTCAATCAGTCTCGCAATTTAGATCCGTCCTGGCTGATACACGGCGGAGGAAGTTCAAACGCATTGCCGGGCACGAACTGTATTGTCTTCTCAATTTTTCGAAATATGCTCCATTAACTTGAATAAAGATATAATACATTTTCTCGTTTGACCCACAACGTTTTGGTTTGCCACGTCTCTGGCCTCCAGCGGCGGATGCTCATGAGAGAATGATGCTCAGTTCCACCCTCCGCAGGTCGAGAGGCCGCGTCGCAAAGTCTTCAGCGCGAGCTGGCATGGCATGCATTTGCTTCTGTAATGACCCCTACGGTTCAACGAGAGCTTTTGTCGGGACACGACGAGCGATTAGATTTAGGTAGAAGATGATGCAAGATTGATTTTTGTATTCTCAATTCTGTCAGTGCGCTGATACGACACGATGGAATCATTTGCAATTTTGTTGAGCTCAACTTCGCTGTTGTCTAACTGTCCAGAGATATATAGAAGTTCCACTGCAATTCAAAAGAAATTTGTTATGTTACAACAGCTCTGTCCAAAGTCGATAGCTACAGAGGATTTGTCAGAGTACCATGCCCCCATAATGGAGCACGCTGACTACAACTGACGGTAGGGATGCTACTGAGATCCGCTTCCTTTCGGGAGGTCGAATGTGTTAGAGACCATCAAATTTGGTCTCTTCGATTGTGGCGCTAATCGACTCGCCACGGTTAATTTGGAGAACAATGATCTTGTCGCGCTGACAGCAACCACCACCTTGTTTGTCGTCCCTTTACAGCATTTGCTCGTCTAGACTTCTGGCGGCGAGGTGATGTTGCTGTGGCTGTCAATAGCTAATCTCGTCCCTTGTTCAGGAGAACCAATTGATGGGTTCATCTGATGAAGCCTCTGCCTTCCAAGGACACTGCTCGTAATCTATAGGCTTGCCATTCGCAGCATCCAGGCCATCCGGGCCATTTCTGGCCAGCCTATTCGACATGGACAGGGAAGGTACCGTGTCCGTTCCTGTCCACGGTCCCCATTACTACCATACCCCACTAAAACACTCGAGGCTTTTGGTGCTTAATTTTACAATCACGCTGAAGATGTCTGAAAGGAGGAAAACTAGCCTTTGAGCCCGGGCACGAATTGTCGGCCCGAGCGTTTGCTACTCAAGTCTTCGGCCATCTTCCGGGCCAGGACGTAAGAATCCTTATACAGTACACTATAATCTACACAACTTCGAGGCACGCGGGAGGAACTTTGACCAATGCTGGCCCGCCATCGCAGCACCTCGAGCTTCATGTCACCCACCAGAGCTTCTACACGTTCTCACTTCATGTCTCGCCTAATGATCGTCTTGCGACAAATGCAAACACATTCTCGGAAACAGAACACTGAAAATTGCACCTCCGGATCATGTCGATCATGACCTCAAACTTCTTCAGGATGCTCGTCGTCTAATCGATGAGCGTCTTCCCGTGGAATCTTTCCCTACCCTGCTCAACTGCCAAGTTACTTCTGCAACTCTCAGGAAGTGCTATACAGAGCTTCATCTCGAGTCAACGGCGCAGCCTCCATGTTGATGAAGTCCATTCACGTGTCCTACGCATCCCCCCTTGCAAATTCTACTCTCCGAAACCCTTCACCTGGCAGCTGCACACGGTCCATAACATGTCATCCGATCGATCATTCACGGGCATCTCGAACCTCCCAGCTCGGATCGTTCCCCCGACGACGAAGTGATTCTTCCATACTACTTTGGCAGACTTCTATCGGCGAAATCTTCCAGTCCATTCTCCAAGACTAAAACTATTTCCTTAAACTGAGTTCGTGTGACACTCGTTAAGCTTTGCAGCTTGGTGCGGAATCCGTCGAAATGAGTCTGATCTCCACGAACGCGCAGGATGTGATGGAGTTCAAATTCTGCACATTGATGCAGCCTTTCCAAGCTCGCCTCCGCATCTCCTTGCAAGTAATTGAAATACTGACGCTTCGGACCTCCATCATCAGGAAGATAGAATCCATACGCGTACGTCCACTTGAGGATCCGCCGACACTCTACGATCTGAAGCCACGCTTCTCTCACAAACTCGAGTTGAGACGTCGGTTGAAATTGCAGGTCGCTCAGCTCCTCGATCTGTACAGGAAGAACTCGCTGAATATCCGACGACGACCTCAGTCTGGACACCTCGTGGGCGGCCCAACGCTCGTAGTAAAACCTGTACCGCTCGCGCGGAGAACTCTTCAGATCCTTGCCGCTTTCATTTCGGGCAGACTCCATCTGCTGCACCCGAACCACGCCAGGTGAAGGTGTAGGTGTAGGTGCAGGCGCAAGCGCAAGACTCGGGGAAACCTCGAACCGGTTGCACGAGTAGAATCCGCCTGTGCTGTCACCGTGATTTCTCCAAGGGCCCAGACATAGCCAGCAGAACTCGAAGTAGCATGGAGGTGTGCAAGTCATATGCATACAACCTTGATTTTTCTCGATCATCCGCTTGCACTTGGGGCACGGTTTCAGGTTTCCCAGCATCCACGACTCGAAGCGCCGGCACGCGGGACAAGGCTTCTGATGAGCCAGAATCCAGTCGATGTTGTCGGGCCAGTTGCATCTAGAGCACGGATCCCAGCTCATCACAGGAGCTTCTTCCTCCTGGACGAGCTGTTCCGAGCTGATCTTCACGATCCACTTGGCCACCGTCTCGCACTCGACAGGCCGGTGTGCTTCCTCCAAGCAGTTCCAGCAGAATCTGTGCGAACATTTGCACACGACGTCGTGAGAGCCCGGGGCTGGAGAGTGCGAGTATTCTACAGCGTAGTCACATCCTGGAGCAGGGCACCACTTGGCCTTCCTGTTGTTCTCGACGTACGATCTGAGCAGGTAGCGCTGGTACTTGCCCTGGTCTTCGTCGCCGGCAAACGACAGAATCATGTCTTCGCCAACTGCCACCCCGCAGAACGGGTCCGCGCATCGCAGAGTGAGACACCCCGGCCCGTCTCGAATCGCGTTGTGTATGTACCCCGTCCAGCAGGTGTCGCAGAAAAAATGGCCACAGATTGGCGCTGCTGTCATGGTCGAAACGGCGTGCATGTCCAGGCAGATGGGGCATTTAGCCCGTCTGGCCGGGTCCGTCGCAGCGACCAGATCTCGGGATGCCAGCGTTCGGCTCTCTGGCGGTGGAGTTGGGAGGCCCACACTCCTTCGAACGAGTTCCTCGTCTGCGAACCATGTGTCGTTAATTGTGCTGACGCTCCACTTCAGAGACCGAAGGAGGATGCCTGCTTCGGTCTCTGAAACGGAGAGGAAATTTGTGATCGTGCTGACTGCGTCGCCCTGCCGCTGACAGATCTCCTCCTCGCTGATTATGGTGTAATTCGACTCCGGCTCATCGAAGAAGTCCGTGTCCTCACTCTGTTGGCTGGCGGTCTCATCTTCTCTTTCGTCATCGTCTGACAGATATCCCTCTGATTCATCATCCCAGTAACTCTGCAAGTCACTTCCGGATTCCATCTTTAGCGAGGACATGTGTAAGTGCTGGTGGAAGTCCGAGAAGGGACGATGGTCTCCGGATTCACGAAGAGCAGAGAGACGAGAGCTCAAGAATGTCCAGAAAGCTTTATCGTGGCGGGCAAACACCTACAGTAGACAAATTTACAGAAAGAAACCGAGAGAAACTTGCTCCTAGAGTTGGTGAGCAACCTCAACAAGTCAACCAAAAAGACAACGATGGCATCGATTGGTGGAGACACGGGACTAAACCACCCCACAACGATCTCGACGAGACTGAACCCGAGCTGGAAGTGCGCAGCATTTTACCTGAGTGCTACCACATTGAACCCACCGAACATTTGGCTCCTGAAAGCTAGAGGAGAAGGTGGTGTCTGCTCAGGGTCAAGGAAATTGGGTAAGTTGTGTGCAGACCAGTCCACAGATCGAAACTTGGACACAGTACACTGTTTGTCATCTATGACATGAGATTGATACCGTCTCTGCGCTGTGACGACTATTTCGCCCACCGCATGAGGCTATTTCTGACGCAATGATCGCATGCTGTCACAGTGCATTCGAATCACAGCTGAGCCTGGCCACAAAAGTTCTCAGTCAACTCGGACCCTTCGTAGTAGTCTACGTCCACAGGCACTCTCTGGTTAAGTAACCGGAAGAGTACTGAATACTTTAACATCGTGTGCCCAATCTTCGTACGAGAAGTATGTATATTGCATGCACAGCGGAGAGAACTGTCACAAATAGTCACATGGAGTTTTCTACTTACAAATGCAGGGGAATTGTTTTAAAATCATGCATGTTGTTCATTGAAGCTTACTGTGGCATCGGGTGGTCAACTGACAGCCATCTGTCATTGGATGTTGCCTACTGACAGAATGACTGTGCTGTGTCCGCCTCTGTGCACTATAAGCCCCTGTTCGTTCCTTTATTCAGTATGAGGGTAAGGTCATGTGACACGCTGAGGTGGTGAATACTCCAACGAATATTGCGGACATTTCGAACCGTTGTAGGTCAAATGCAGTGTGACAATAAGGAAGAGCTTTTTGGTCACTTCGAGATTAAATCATTCAATTCGGTGTTCTCGCGTCGTGATTAAAATATCGAAAAATGGGATCAATTCAGACTTTTCATTCATTGGCAGCTCATGCACACGAGAGGTACGGATATTTGTCAACTTACTAGATTGAACGGTGGAATGAATGGATTGGATTTTATGAGAAACTTTCCATAGCCAAAAATGCTCGTTCAACAAAACTAATATTTGTATTGGTGAACCTCGCCAATTTGAAATAAATGTACAAAGGAAGTTTCTCACTTGCTCCACATGTTGGAGCACAGTTCTAATCATCGATATAGTGTCAGCTACTGACGGCATCGACAGATCTGACTGAACTGCCGAGCGTAGCTGACCGGGAAAAAATATATGACTTCCCTGGACCTATGTGTTTTATATGTACATCTACATCCGTCCCTACTCTTCGTCATAGTGATACACACTTCGATGTAGTTTCACCAAATAGGTACAATTAAATATTACTACCAGCATCCATTAGGTGGACGCGTAAATCTATTTCAGGTCTGCTCGCCACTTGTAGGCGAGCAGGTCTTCCGTTCAAGCTAACTAAATCACCAACAATCTGAGTGCTCTAACTGCCGCACGCCATGCATTCATCCTTGTTCTCCAAGGAACATACCATCTGTGCCATCTGGGATTCCAAGTTGTTGCTCGTCTCGACCTCGGGTTTCTGCAGGGGTATAAACTTGCGTCAGTATCTATTCCAAACCGACTCGTCGTAAGAACAAGGAGATTTTATACAAAATGGGAAGCTTAAAAGGAGGGACTAAAGTAAGCTCGACGGACACCACTTCAGGACTAGCCTTCACATACCACAAGATTGGTGGCGTCCACAGTGAACTTGATGGCATCCGCGGCGGCTCTGGATCGTAAATAGTACATACCAGTTTTCAAGCCCTGCAATCAGAATAACGGTCAGGAACGTATAGAGGTTTTGCACTGTCAGTATGATCTAGGGGAGTGTGATGGGTACAACATTGCTTAATCAGGATGTACAGTAAATTTCTAATGAAAGGCATCGTTACCTTTGACCACGTGTAGAAGTGTAATGAGGTGAGTTTCCCGAAGTTCGGCTGGTCCATATGAATATTTAAGCTTTGACTTTGATCAATAAAGGCCCCCCGGTCGGCAGCCATGTCAACCAATGACCTTTGTTTGATTTCCCAAACAGTACGGTATATGGCCTTCAGGTTCTCAGGTATCTCGTCCAGTTTTTGGATAGAACCGTTGTAGTGGATGACCTTATTCTTCAACTCGGGGCTCCACAAACCCATGTCCGTGAGATCCATGAGCAAGTGCTTGTTGACGACCATAAATTCCCCACTGCACAGCAGGTGAACGTGATAGGCGCAGTTAGCGTGATTTCAATACATCCCTGAGGTGACCGGTCCTCGTATGCAGGGAAGTCTTGATTCTTCTTTAGTTGCTTACCTTAGAACGCGTCGACTGTAAATGTTGGACGTGTACGGCTCGAAACATTCATTGTTCCCAAGAATCTGGCTTGTAGAGGCCGTTGGCATAGGAGCCACGAGCAGAGAGTTGCGAACACCATGCTTTGCGACACTCTCACGCAGGCCGACCCAATCCCACCTGTCATCCGAAGTACGAACTCCCCACATGTCTGGTTGTAGTACTCCCTGTCAAACCAACAAGGAATTTATAACACGCATTCCAGCGAATTAGATATAGAAATAGTATATTCCACTTTCCAGTACCAGGCTACTGCATTTCGCGGGCCGGCTGTAACCTATATCAACAAAGCATAACAAACTCACCTTGCTGACTGGGCTCCCGGGGTATGTTTCATACGTGCCCTCTTCTTCAGCAAGTTGGCAAGAGGTCTTCAAAGAGTGAAAGTAGATGGCTTCAAAGATATCTCTGTTCAGCTGACGCCCTTCCTCCGAATCGAACGGCATCCCCAAGAGAATAAAGACATCTGCAAGACCCTGGACGCCAATGCCAATGGGCCTGTGTCTCATGTTCGACCGTCTCCCGGTCTCTGTTGGATAGTAGTTTACATCAATAATGCGGTTGAGGTTGCGGGTAACTATTGATGTGATCTGTGATACACAGCAGGGATGGTACGTTAGAATTGTCTCAGCAGTCAACGAGGAACATTGTTTCAGACGACGAATTCAATGGCCTCACCTCTCCAAGCTTTTCGAAATCGAAGAAGCGGTTTCGGTAGCCTCGGCTGCCAACGAGCTTAGAAGGATGACTCTCGATAGGTATACCCTGCATTTAGAAACAGTTGTTCAGGTAACAAATAATCTTGACAAGACATTGAACTTCACGTGGCAGACGAAGTAGCCACGAATTGAGCATCGCCTCGTTGAGACTTGAGGCGTACCTTCTCGCGTACAAATCGGGGTAGGGCAATTGACGCCAAGTTGCACACCGCCATTTCATCGGGTGCGGTGTACTCCACAATCTCCGTACATAGATTGGATGACTTGATCGTCCCCAGGTTCTGCTGGTTACTCTTCCGGTTGCATGCGTCCTGGTACAAGTGGAAGAAGAGATGTGAGCTCATATGGTATACTGCAAGTACTGCAAGTTTGATCGATGTTCTTACGAGCATAGAAATGTAAGCATCCAGAATGTACCTTAAACAGCATGTACGGGTTGCCGGTCTCAACTTGCGCTTCAAGTATAGAGAACCACAGCTTCTGAGCTTGAATCACCTTCCTTGCCTTTCCCTGATGACAGGCGATGCTTATTTAGTAAGCTTACAAGTTAAAGCTAAGCCACTATTCAGTAACTTTCCAGTAGAACACGTGTGAAGTGAGTAGTCATGTGTGCATCAAGGTCATCTACATACGGCTTTCTCGTAGCTGGTGTACAGCTCCTCAAAACTCTCTCCCCAGCAATCTGCAAGCCCAGGCGCTTCGTTGGGGCAGAACAGCGACCAGGTTCCGTCCGATTGCACCCTCTTCATGAAAAGATCAGGAACCCAAAGGCCATAAAACAAGTCCCTTGCGCGAGACTCTTCCTTTCCGTGATTCTTTCTTAGGTCCAGAAAGTCAAAGATATCGGCGTGCCAAGGCTCGAGGTAAATGGCGAAAGCACCTGCGAAGAGAAAGTCCAATTAATTGTATACTTAGTTGCAACTTCGAAATCTAGATCATATCGAATTGTCACAATAGACAGTGGTATTGCAAGGTACCTCCGAGGAAGTCTAAGTACCCGTACCTTTTCTCTTGCCACCACCTTGGTCTACGTAGCGAGCGGTGTCGTTGAAAACTCGCAGCATCGGCAGGATGCCATTGGACGTTCCATTGGTCCCTCTGATGTAGCTACCGGTGGCACGAATGTTATGTACTGAGAGTCCGATTCCCCCTGCTGACTTACTTACAACAGCACACTCCTTCAAAGTGTCGTAAATTCCCTCGATGCTGTCGTCTTTCATGCAGATTAGAAAGCAGCTACTTAGCTGCAAGAACGAAGTGTAAATTAGACAAGGGAATGATCATTCTTTTCCTCGAAGGTTTCTGGGATAACAGAAGAGATCGAGCGCATGCAATTTATGTCTCCGCACGTTTTAAAATTCGCTCATCAGACCAGTGCTGGTCCAATTCGAAACCGAGGCTGTCAAAACATCTGTGATTCTCGAAGAATTACACAAGGGCACCTACCTGAGGTCTTGGAGTTCCACCGTTGTAGAGGGTTGGAGAAGCGTGAGTAAACCAGCGCTGAGACATCAGGTGGTATGTCCTGAGAGCGGCCTCCACATCGTGCTTGTGAATGCCGACAGAAACGCGCATAAGCATGTGTTGTGGCCTCTCCACCACTTTGCCGTTGACCTTTAACAGGTATGACCTTTCTAAGGTCTTGAACCCGAAGTAATCGTACTCAAAGTCGCGGTCGTAGATTATTTCACTGTCCAGACGCTCGGCATTCTGCACACCAATGAGACACCAATGAGATATGCCTGGCAAAGCTAGCTAGACTTGCAGGGTCGGTCTGTGAGAAACTAACAAAAAAGGCAGGTCCGTGCACAGGAATGGATTCATAAGACGTTCGGAAACTGAGTATTAGAATTTACACTGACCTTCATAATAATCTCGTATACGTCATCGGCAATGAGAGGAGCTTTAAGTCCCGATCTCTCATTCACATGTGCGTACATCTCTTTCACCCTGCAGACACGACACATTATTGAGCATGTACGGCAGTGTGTTCTTGAGTGCAATATAAAATCTTCCAACTGCATGGCAGTGGCAAACATCACACGAATACAGAAGGTCGGTGTCAATAATGCAGAGCTAGAAAAACTTCTACTTGCTTAATGTGTGGTGCTTACGTCTCAGAAAAAGACTTCTTGGTGTTTTTGTGAAGGTTGGAAACAGCAATTCGGGCTGCAAGCTGCAAACAAGGAAACTGAGTCAGCTCTCATGACACCTTATGGTAGCCAAGCTAAATCAGTCACTTGCGAACACAAGTGATACGGTTTCAACTGGAATGTTACGACCGAACGCGAAATTCAGATGTTCGTCAGAGCAACTAGCAGAGCGGATACTCTTGAAAGTCAGAAGCTCAGCTCCCGCTTGCTGTATTTCGGGAGTTGAGCTTCTGACTTGGGAGTTGAGCTTCTCGGAAGGACAGTCCTCGTCTCTTACACTCGAGACGAGGACTCTCCTTCCGAGATTGCGGAGCAGGTACTCACCAGTGCATAATCAGGATGACTTGCAGTCATTGCGGCGGCGGTTTCAGCTGCTAACTCGTCCAGCTGACTGGTTGTAACACCCTTATAAACCCCTACACAAACTTTCTGAGCTACGACAACCACATCGCAGTGCTCAGGATTCAAGCCATAGCTCAATTTCTTCAACCTCGCTGTGATTTTGTCGAAGTGCACTGCTTCCTGCCTACCGTCTCTCTTGATCACGTACATTGTCGACATTGTTCACTCACCCCAAGCCCCGCTTCCTTCGACGAAATGGACACTTCAGTACGACCCCTATGCTCTGTACTCAATACGTCGTTGGAGAAGCCAGAGGAAATTCCTTCTGCAGTCCGAGACTGTATTGCTTCTCGTGAGCATACAGTCTCGAACTACAAGGACTAGCTACCACTCAGCTCTAGAGATTCACACTCCCCGACTCGCTCACTTATCACCTGTTTTACAATTTGGTCCTACTCTGCAGCAGCGCGTGCGGCAGTGGGGTTTATATCCTCACGAGGATGAATCTTCACGAACACACTTCGGCCCATGCAGGGAAATAACAATAACGAGCGAATTCTATTTCGGATGTTATCTGTCCAAAAGCTCCGCCAATTTAAAATTCCCTCCAGCACCAGAGAACGAGATCGATCCACACTCGCCAAGACTGCTGCTGCTGCGAATGCGGTGTGGGGTTCATTCGTCCGGCAGCGGACGAGAGCTAAACCAGAGCAAAAAGGTGGCAGTTTTAGGGTTCTGCAATTTCCGACTTCTTTGGCGGGGGAGGGAAGCAAATGCGAATTGGAAATCGGGTAGCGAACACTTTCTTTTTTTTGGGTTTTTGAATACTCGCGCTGGCGGGAGGCGTCCGCGGGAGTTACAAGGAGGCACGGGGCGCTCGATGGGACTCATCGGACGGTGGACCAATACGAAGAGGTGGCTTCATCAGCAATCGATAGGAAATAAGTGCGGGAGTTTTGACCACGATCACAATGATTGGGCAACATCCCTCGGACTGTATTTCATACGGTAGTTATGTTCCTCTGGAAATATTCTGTTGGTTCTGTTGTGGTTTATCTTTCCGCACATCGAACTCCGGTTTGAATTTCATCCTCCGTTCCGGAGAGCATCTCCATTGACACGCGAAAGGAATCGGGACTCCGATTCCCTTCGTCTTTGTTATGCTTCAAAAGGTCCCTTTGACTTTCAGCATGAGCGAAGCATATAACCTTCACTAACTGCAGATTATAGAATAACCGCAAGAACATGTGATTTCTCTTAACTGACAAATTCCCAAGCCCGTCAAATACTAGTTGGAGGAAACAAATCGACTGACTTGGGGCCAGATTCCAATAGCATTATTCGATTTGATTTATACTAATCAATATTTTCGAGAAATATACACATTTTTGTATATTATTAAAAATTAATATTATTATTAATACACATATGTATAATACTACATTCATGAAAGATGCTGATGTTCAATTTTACGCTGTAAGTTGAATCCCATACCTCTAAGTTGTTACATGCTTTTCTTATTGATGGGAATTTCTTCCCATCAGATATATAACGATTAAGTTATTTGTACTACAGTTTGTTAGTCCCTGGATTTTGACCAAATTACAAAAATGCAACAATTTCTCACATCTCATATTAATGAACTTTGATTTCACTAAAAAAAATTGTTAAAATTGTTTAGTTTTCATATAGGTGAAATATTTTGTAATTTGTGTGCATAGTGCTGGCATTTTACTACTCAATTACAGTTTAGAAATCCGATTTTAAAGAAACGCGTCTTTTTTTTTCTCATCAATTGATTATAATCTTTATAACTTCAAAAGTGGTTTATACTTTACTATTTACAAGCGGTACATAAAAACATAATTGATAGATCCAAGTTCTGGTGTATTATCTAAGATCCACCGCCAAATATATTACGTATAATGGGTAGTAGGTGAATCTCTTCCTACAGAATTGTATGGGTTATATTTTTTATATGATATACTTTTGACAGTGCTATATTGGCAGGTTCATCATAAGAAACTCAGCCAATTTCAATATAAAAGCAAAAACTTATATTTTGAATTGATGTAATATGCTGATTAGTATTATATATTTTTTCCTCTCGAGATTAGGATCGAGCATTCATAATGCTGTGAGCACACTTGAAGTGTTGAAAGGTGCATTTCAATGAACGTCTCAAAAAATTGAATTACTGTATATTTAATGTTTGTTTTATGATAGATATTTATGTCAATTAGTTCTTATAATGAAAGTAATAAATTAAAAAATCCTAACACTTTTTGACTATCTAAAAGTTTCATGTGCTGAATGTCAAGTAACATTCATGACTTTGAAACCCTGTTATGAAGTTTTAAGATTGATATACACAATCATTACCACTCTATGTACAAAACATGACATTCAACCTTGTGTGTGATTTTTTTAGTTTACCTTATCATAAATGCTTTGTGTTCACAAGCAAATACCAACATATTTCACTTCCCTTAGTAGTCAATTGTAAGTTGCAACCTAACATATACTCAATAAAATGTGTTTCTTGTATATGTAATCTTGCATCAAATATCCTACAAATGCTAGCTAAATTTTGAAGATTTTTATTTATACATATTTACCTGAATTTCAAATTTAATAGATTTCTTATATAACATTAAATTTCGCATCATTTAATTTTTTGTTATCTTTCTCATTATTTTTTACATTTTAATTTATACATATCTCATGAAATTTACATTCAATTGATTTCTTTTTTAATATAAAATTTTGCATCATTGCAAGATTTTCTGTCTTTCTCATGATTTTTTACATTTTAATGTATAAGATTTTGGTTAAATAAATATATATATATTAAATTGGAAATGATTGAAAATAAGTTGTAGTCAAAATTCAATTAAATCAAGTCATATATAAACATAATAAATTTGCTATTTTTTCTAATTCTACCATTTATTTTAACTGCAAAATGACAATATTTTTTTTAATGATTTTTTTAAGATAAGTTTGAAAAAAACATAAACTATATCATATATATCATCATTATTGATTGAATTTAATATTAAAAAAAACTTCTACATGTAAAAATATCAAGTGATGTATGTGGATTTTAGTTTTTTTTTATCATCTAAGTCATAACTTAACTGAGAAGCATTTTGACCATCACATACAAATTAATAATGGCATGACTGAATTTCAGCTTTGAGCCAAATTTGTGTTCCGACAAATACAATATAAACCTTAATATATACATAATCAAGAGCAAATCAAGTCAATTACACTTTATACAAATTTACATATTTTGCATTAAATTATTGACATGATCAATATCATTAATACAATGTTTGAAATTTGAACGTAAAAATGGAAGTTGGGAGTTGAATATTCACTTATTGAAATGAAATTTTGAAGTGAATCATATTAAAAATTTCACATAATGTAAGTTAATAAACAAAAAATGAAAAACTCATCAATGTATAGTTAATAAAAAAAATGTGGTTTGGCACTACAAACTTCGTCTATGATAACAACTCTCAAAAGATCACAATGTCTTGGAGAGATTATATAGGTTTTTTTTATATAAAACACAATAAATTACTAAAACTATGGCAAAGTTTAAAATAAAATCTAAAAATCTATTTAATATTTTGTGTATGAACGTTGAATTTTGATGAATTAAATAAAAAAAAAATCACAAATATGATGATGTTATTGATGTATATATTTAATTACATCATTGACTTTAGTTCGCACATCTTTTCATCATAATTTTTAAATCAATACGAGGCATCTAAGCTGAACAAACAAGAGCATAGAGAAGATATAAATACTCGGATGTCAACACATAAGATTAACTTAGTCTCTCAACTAAGAAAAATGTAGTTAAAAAACAACAAAATATTATATATTTCAATATAGTCAAAATTTTGTAGTGATGTTTTGACATTATGATGTGTAATATTTATAATCAACAACACACTTTTGCATAGTTGCAATGATTTGTAATGCAAAAAAAATTAATGAATGAGTGTAATTGAACACTCAAGGGAATGAATTTATCAATTAGACATGTATTTTTAGTTTTAAACCATAGTACTAGATAATAAATAGTTCATGATTGTATTACATTATAATAAAAATCTTAATTATATACAAAATATTTATTTTAGATGAAATAAGTGATATTTCAACATTGAAAATATTAAAAATAACGTTATCATCATCATTGGGATTGCAAATACTCTAATTTTATTTTATTTTATTTTTAAATCAACCAAATCTTGCCGTTAGATTGTCATTAACTCAATATTCTTTTGTATTATTATATGTAGCTGTCAAACTACAATTATTAAAGAGTGATACAACAATAAAACACCACTTACACAAAATATTATGAAATTTCAAAGTTAAATTCTACATAGTAACAATGATTGATCAAATCAATGCGAACATTTTATTAGAAAATGATGATAGCATATTGATACAAAGTTATATTAATTGATGATATATAATGATATGAAACAATGTTGTGATTTGTGTGCTGATTAACATTCAATCTTATGTCAAGTTGTATTTGATAACTTATACATTCAAAAACTATGATGTGAATTTTGATTTCACATTCATATATATAATTTGAAGATTTGCAATCTCACATTATCATTTTGTTCATGTCAGAATGGCAATGTTCATAAACAAATACTTACATATAGATTTTCCACAGTTTTTTACAATCTAATTCATAATTTTGCTATTTTATCATTTCAATTTTATGTATGATTAAAATAAATTTTGATATATATCATTATTTGTCACAAAAATTAATGATTGTCATAAAAAAAGAAATTGAATCAAAATTTTTAATTTTTTTGGTAATTATGTTGAGTTGACAAATGTTAATAAAAATCATGAATTTTTCAATTTATAAATTAAGGTAACTGAATATAATTATTCAAATTTGATCAATCTAATCATTGTACGTTGTAAATTCAATCATCTATTAAACATTTGAATAAATTTTGAATGATTTAAAATCTATAAATATGGCTAAATAAAAATTAGAATGTTCATTCAAAAATATTAGAAGATGATTTGTGTCTTCAATGAAATGAAAAAATATTAAATACATTTTATCAATTCTAAAAAGTTATTTGCGATTTTTTGGTAATTTTAAGACAAAAAAAATTAATAAATTACTCATTTTACAATTCAAAAATGATGGTATTATTTTGATACAAAGCGATACGATTTAAAAATTTAAAATTTTGATAAAACATAAATACAAACTGATCCAAAATGAAGAATATGCAATAAATTAATTAAATATACTTTAAATATATTCATAAATTTGATTTTAAATGATAAGCAAACATTTAAAAAAATTAGAGTCGATGATGATATATTACTTACATAAAATTTAAATTGATGAACAAAAATTTATATATATTTATATAGTTTTGAAATATTTACTCAAATAAATCATCTTGAATTGGTGTTAAGTATATATATTGGAAATTGATAATACATTGATTCATTCAAATTTTTAGTATACTAATTATAGAAAGTAATCTGAAATGATTTAAAAAAACATAATTTGTTAAAAAATAATGATGAAACATTAATGTAGAGTTTTCATTTTTTTGGAAGTAATTCAGTGTGATACATTATATTCAAATGAATTGTACAAAGTATCAAATTTAAAATGAATATAAAATACACATATGTTGAAATAAAGAAAAAAACTGATGTCAAGATTCTTATAATTAGAAGTATCAAAATTATTTACAATTTATGTTAAAACAGCAATTCAGCAATGATAACAAGACATGTATCTACAAATACATGATTGAATAATCAAGATGAATCTCAATAAATAGATAAATTATTTTTTTTAAAGATTTTGTAATGATTAGCGGCAGAAGTCAACATTTGAAAACAATTATAAAATGAATTTTTGTATAAATGATTTTTTTTGGAAAAATTTAGAAATGATTTGTCAAAAAAATTTAACTTTTTTTCTAAAATTGAATTGCAATGATAAATTGAAATTAGAAAGCAACATTTTTCAATTGAAAAGATAATCTGACACTTTAATTGTATATAAAATCCAAAAATAAAAAATTACAATATTTAATTATCATGAAAGCAATTAGAAAGTTTGAAATAATTTGATGTGATAAAATTTTGAATCTAAAAATCTTGTTTTTAATTAATTTTAAATTTATGTATTTATTGGATTAACATTAAATGCGAATTCATAATTGAAGGTTAATTTTAACTCAAATCAAATTTAAAAAGAATATTTTTTTAGATTTATTTTTCAATCATTTCAGGAACTTTGTAAGGTTTTCAAATAATTCAATTTAAGAATCAACTTTTTGTAATTAGGTTTTTTCACAAAATAAATATTTAATTCTTTTGGATTTGTTTGCAGTTTAAGCTAGTAGTTTCAAGTTGGTACAGTATTAAATTGCAAAACTCCAATTTATTCTAATTTTTTTTTAAAAATAGATATGACTCTATGGACAAAAGTTTGTATTTAACTAAAATTTCTAGAGATTAAATTTGACTTTCAGCACATATTTGATTAGAGTTTGATATCTTTTAATCATCAATTTGAAATTAACGATATGTAATATGTAAGGATATGCATATTCTGAATATCCTATTGCTTGATTGTGGATAAAACTTCATTTCATATAAAGATAATACATTATGAATCACTTAATTCAAAATTATGTATTTTTTAATAAATTTTTACAATGATAGATTGGAAAATAGTCATTGTTGATGGAAGCACTATACATGATAGATCATGAAATTTTGACATACAATAGTGAAATTTGGCAAGTCATCTTGTACATTAAGATTATTTGTTAGATAGTATCATGAGTTTTTGATTAATTTTCACTGAAAATCATCTTAAATGATTTTTTGGCAGCTCATTATGAATTTAAAAAATGATGTCTCCTGATTATGCTTTTGTTCTTTTATTTCTTGAAATATTTCAGGGTATTTAAATTTTTGTTATTGATAAATCAACATTTTCAAACATTGATTTCAAAAATTTTAGAGTAATTTTTGTGAAAATTTTGGATTTTAATAATAATATTTCTTCTATTTTTATCAAATTGAATATCAATATATTTCATTAATATTCTTCAAATATTACTTAATAATATAAAATTGGTCTACTTATATAATTTTATTTGGAAAATATTCTTTGTACATACATTGAAATAAGAACATGCTATTGAAGAATTTGAGTCTCTCAACAATTTTATTTACAATCAAATTAAAACTTATACATAGTCAATCAAAGAATTTTATCAAATTTATCTACTAAGTACAGCTAAAAAATTGATCATGTGGTTCATGCATTTTTGTAATCTTAAATTCAATTAGAAAAAAACTTAGAAAACAATGATGATCATTCATAAAAGCTAGAAGATATCTAGTTTGATTGTTACATGTAAAATTAATAATAAAATTTAAGAATAAGGTGATTGTCGATCAACATACGAACATATCTAAGTTGTCATCATGTGTGATGAAATTGAATGATGTGTTTTGTTAAATTTAACCTTACAATTTTTTATTATTAATAGGGAAGGTTTATGAATTTTTATATATTATGTTTTGGTGATAGATAAAATGGTATTTTTTGATTTGTGCAGAATAAATACACAAAAAGTCGTTTTCGAATTTAAAATTTTTGTGTAAATGTGAAATCATATGTATTTATGATAAATTTGATTTTACTTGTGTAATCTGATTATATTATGAATAGTTTTAGCATGCAAGCATGTAGTTTTATTACGTTTGTAGAATTATATAACCTACAAATATATGTCACAACGTTGGATTTGATGAAACTCAACACTGATTACCAATACAAAACATACTCTTATCAATAACGTTTTAGTATGTTATGCAAGTTAAATGAGTTGGCTATCACTAAATTATTTATTAATTTATCAAAATTTATTACAGTATCTAGTATTTTAGCAAGTGGAAATGTAATAAATGTTATGAACTTCAATATGCATGGGGAGCAAAATGGATTCACTTCATATTCTTTGTCCAAGAGATATATACTTGCTGAGTTTGAATGAGGTTGTATCATTTGCATTGCATGAAAAATAAGCTAGTTCATGTATGTAGGGACAATAGATGACCCTAACCTTGGAGTGAAACCTTTGTGATTACAACAAAAGACACAAAGAAAATTATTTTAATATATTTCATGTTTTCATTTTTGGATATAAGTTTTTTCCTTGTATATATATATATAAATGAATTTCTTGGAGTATGGGCATAGGTTGGAGTATATCTTAGAAAATTTGCATAAAGCATCATTGATGCTTGTCAAAAAAGCAAAATAAATTGCAAGATACTACTCATACATCATGTGGCACATTTGATGAGACGATATGAGAGGTTACTCACAATATTAAAAAGTTTTCCGTCAGATATTTTGTTGCTGCAGTCACAAGATCTTGATGGTATCACATCAGAACGTTGACTGCTTGATGGGACCCACTAAGTTACATTTTACCCCATGGGACCCTTCCGCCGGTAATTCAATCCACCGTCACCGATGTTCTACTGTGAGTTCTTGTAATTGCCGGGCTAGGAAAAACACTGAGGCGCTTTGACAGGATTTCGACCAAGAGATTTAGAAAAAAAAGTAAGGAATAAGTAGATTATGCCTATACATTATCTCTGTAAAATCATTATGGGACTTAAAAATTGTACTCTTCCATGATGTAGATTGGGAGCAATGGAAAATCTGATTAACTTAAATTCGGTAAGAAATAACTTTTTTTCATTGAATTGGAAACAAATCAGTTACACGAACATAATTTACGGTGAACCGTGGGAGGGGTCCCATCTGGTAAAATGTAATTTATTAGATCCCATCAAGCAAATTTCTCCAAGATCTTGCTTGGCATGACGTCATATATTTGACTTATTGTGTTGTGCTTGATAACATGATCTCAAGAAATGTAACACATGCATCGGAACCGTCCAGATATCCATCTTTTATAGAACGTGTGGGTAACGAGAGTCTCTGACTGCATAGTGTATCCCATCAAAAAGAGCACGCAGACTTGCAGCTGACTGTATGGAGTTGACTGTTGCAAACTCGATATACATTGAAAACTTGAGCTGTAAAGCATAAGCTTGCCAATGGTGTTCTGTGCATTGAGTACTAACCACTAGCCCGAGCTGAATTCTGCCGTTTCGTCAAGTCAGTCGAGTCACTGCAGGAGCCTTCATAAGAAGCTTGCTACGGGTGCAGTTCGTGCATTTGACGTGATGGGAGGAATGTCGATCCCAACAGAACCCGTTGGATCGCTGCCCCGGCCTGCGAAGCTCCAGGCCGCAATCAGCAGTTTCGATTGTGGCAAGATTACTCTGGATGAACTCAGAAGTGTTCAGGACGAGGCGTGTTTGGACTCGATCACCCGCTTTGAGGCGACAGGATCACCAATAATTTCAGATGGAGAGCAGCGCATTTCGAGCTTTGCAACTTACCCACTGACGGATACCCTTGCTGGAACTGGGCTCGCCGAGGGACTTGCACCACATGGTCAATACTTTGCTATCTTCGACGATGGCCACCATCGCCAGCTTCCGGCTTTAGTGAAAGGGCCCTTTAGATACAAGTACTTCGCTGTGGACTTTTTCGAGAAAGCAAAAGCAATGGCCGCCCTCCCTCTCAAGCAAGCCGTAATTGCTCCTTCCATGCTCGCCCTTCTCTACCCGCTCGACAAGGAAATCGAAGGGTACACTCGTGAAGAGTTTTACAGGTTGGTTTCCTTTTCCTAGCTTCCCGTTCGATTCCCAGTGAATATGTGGGTAAAATTTTTATGGACACCTCCTTCTGGCGAATTTGAAGTCCATTTGCCTATGTCCGAAAATGATGATAAGCGGATTCACATTAGATGCTCTAACTGTGCACACTGATACGCTCTGCAGCCGCCAATAGAGTTCGCTTCGCAGGCTACGGTAGGTTCTATATATGTATACATTTGTCTACGTCTTGCTGTTTCACTTGCCCACGATTGTACATCTGTCAGTAACCACACTCCTTTCCAGATTTTCTGGTATATAACCACATGCAGACAAGCTAATAAAGGTTCTTTGTTCAGCGATCTGTTAGATGAAGCCGAGAAGGACATACGCAAGCTTTTCGATGCAGGATGCGGCAGAGTGTCGATAGATTTTACCGAAGGCCGACTGGCGTTGAAGAAAGATCCGCGAAACCCATGGACGGGCAAGAATATGCTACAAACTTTCGTGGAACTGAATAACCGACTGCTGGATCGATTCTCGGCAGTCGAGCGAAAGAACATAGGAATTCATACTTGCCCTGGGGGCGACTGCGACTCCACGCACAGTGCAGAAGTGGATTATGCGGAACTGCTACCGAGCATGTTCCAAATGAATGCCGGTTACTTCTTGATCCAGCTCGCGAGTGAGCCGGACAAGGAAAGGATTTACAAGCTCATCGGAGACAACATGCGGCCGGATGCAAATGGCGTGCCTCAAGTAGCGTTCATTGGTGTAATCAATCCTCTGAATCCTCGCGTCGAAACTGCGCAAGAAGTGTGCGATGATCTGGTTCTAGCCGCCAAGTATATCCCAAAGGACCGTTTAGGCTCCACTGACGACTGTGGGTTCTCGCCTTTCAGCATTGACGTAAAGCCCAAGCACGGATCTCCGGACTTTGCTCGTGATATTGCATTCCAGAAAATCAAGGCGCGCGTTGACGGCACCCGTCTCGCTTCGGCTGCTCTTGGTGTCTGAGACAGTGAAGCACTGACTGCATTGCATAAGGAGAATCTGATTTGGAGTCTATACAGTAAAAAATGCGCTGTAACATCTAATGACTTCAGTTGCAGCCAACACAGGGTGCTCTGAGATCGATCCAGTATTTGCTCTACAAGCGAAACTTGTCCTCATCGTCGCTACGTTGAAGTGCCAATATCAAGCTCTACTCTAGGAGACCACAATTCTGAGTGCTAACTACAGGCTTTTGCATCAGCTCACCCCGTGAAGCAAGACTTTCCCTCTGGAAGAAACATAGAACGGGCAAACAATTGGAGAAGTGTAACAGATCCATGCAGGCCAAAAACGAGTACAAGTAGACTTGTGAATAGAAAACTATCCGATATACACTTCATTTGACAACCAAGTACTGTATTTATGATCCATCTGATTTGGCAAAATAACAATGTTAAATATTAATCATATCTGGTTTATTGTCACAATAATTCTTTACATACAGTATAATGTTTAGGTTTTGCGATTAACACCACGATGAGTAGGAGTTACCTCAGCTGAGGTAACTCCTACTATCTACTACTACACACGATATTCCTAGCGATGTTATTCTCATGTCATGATTTTTTGTAACACACTCAATTTTTAAATTTTCCTATGTTGTATGGTTTTATTATCTTTTCTTTATGAAATGATGTAGAACTTTTATATGCTTTGTTCTAGTTTGATGCAAGTTCTCGCTTAAAAGTAATATTATTACTTTTTTGCACAACACTAGCTTTGTTAGTAATCAACGTAAGAAAAAAATATCTTTTACAATCTTAGAAAGTGCACAATATTCAACTTTAGTATCTCATATGTCATTGTAAATTGCAATTTTCTGTTCCAATCAATCGTGGTACTTCCAACCTTGTGAAAAATTCCGGTTTTTGATCTCCAAGTATCAAAATCACTCCCCTACTCTAAGTCGTCAAAGGTACAATACATCAAACCTCCATGCTGCTTGAAGTAAATATCTCAATTTATCGTTTCCTTCAAATACCCCAAAATTGACTTTGCAGTAGTTCATTGAATCTCTTGGTGATGCTGCATATATGAAAAATCTAATATTGGATCTTGAGAATCTACTATTGGATTTTGAGATCTTTGCGAGAAAGAGAAATAATCCAACCAATGACCTAATCGATGTAATATCAACTTACGTTTTTGTATTATGACCTCAGTGTAATCCAGAACCATTGAAAGATGAATTGAGTTACAGATCATTAAATTAAATTAAATTAAATTTTGCAGAAGACTTTGTATAAAAATTATAGCAAAATCTTCTGCATCAATGAAGTTTTATACTTAGATGATGCAAATAGATTATAGTATCTGGTTGCTCAAATTCCGCCCCTAAGTACAACTTTGCATAATCAAGAATTGTCATATCAAATTCAATTGTAAAAATACTTTTAATCTTGTTAAGTTCGTCGTGATTATCTCCAACAAGCAACAAATCATCTACATAGAGTAACACAATCGCATACTTGCTATCAATAAATCAATAGTGCATATTATCTATCAAGTGTGATTTTCTTCACTTCATGTTGTGGTAAATAGATATCAATTTTTTCATACCAGGACTTTGATGCTTGTCAAAGGTCATAAAGAGTATTAAGAATTCTACATACTCTATTTTTTTAAGATTATTTAAAGCAATTTGGCACATACATAAACATGTCTTCATATATCTTGACATTTAAGAAGTATGTTTTAACATCGAGCTCACAAATTTGTCACTACTTGTTTGCAGCTACAGAAAGTTGTATTCGTATCATGAGTCAATTTACCACCGAAGCAAAGGTATAAAAAAGTCTACACTGTGGTGAGATTTATTTGAAACTTGAAACTACATTGTGAGTGCTATGTGTGTTAATTGTAACTAGAGTTGAGTGTACCACATACTTCTAAGTGGTATTACAAACTCATATTACAAACTTATACTACGTGTTATATTAGAGTTGAGTGTACTACAAACTTGTACTGCACATGTAATGTCTTTTACTTTTGAAAGTTTTATTGAAAAACTATATAGTAAAGAGTGGACGGTTCATTTCGCTCAGTCTCAATTTTGAGTTTCACATGTTGAAGGCTTGAGATGTTAAGGTTTGTGTGTGTTTCAATTTTTTTTGGTCTTTTTAGATGACTTGACATTGAATGTTGCGGTACTTTTTCCCCGGCTACGTCTGTTTGAGAGAAAAGTGGTCTAAGGAACAAATTTTTTTTCAAAGCAATTTCATTTTTTTTATTGATTTTAGAGTAGAAATTGAGATATGTTTAAGTTTTTGTTTTAAGTTTAGATATTAATAGGTAGAAAGTTTTGAATGTTGGAAGTTAATGGAATTTTTCACAAGTACCAAAAACTTTTGCTCTTCGACAAATTTGTACAGAATAAATTACATTTTCTTATTTCAATTTATCATTAATTTTTTCAGTTTATATTCAAAAATAAACTATATCTAAAAGAAAAATTAACATAATTCATAGATAAATTTACTGAATTAAAATTTCATGAAATTAAACATTTAATGATTCACATATAGTTAAATATGATAAATTTGAGTTTTTTTTTTTTAAAAGTTAGATTCAAAGATTTTTACTAGAATGAAAAAAAATCTAATTAAGATTAAAACATGCAATGAAAATTTTGTGACATGTCATAATCATAGAATTGTTTGCATAGTCAGTACAATATTGTGTGTGAGAAAGTCAGTTTCATTAATCTTGACTTTAAATATTTTATGTATGATAATTTATGAGACAACATATGAAAATTAATTATTTGACACTTTTTGAAAAAATATTCTTGTTATTTAGACTAAATTCAACTCATATTGAATTTATGAAAATTGTGTTATGAATAAAAATAATTTAAAAACTTCTCAATTTGAAATGAAAGTTTCAAAGGATTGTTATAGACATATGATATCAATTTTTTTTTCAATATTTGAAAACAAATAAATTACAATATTTATTAATAAATATAATTGATTTTAGTGATATTATTTATTTTTAAATATCTTACATTTTCAAAATTTTTAAATAATTTAAAATTTGAAAGTGAAATTATGACTTTGTCACAAGGTCCGATAACTACTTACGCATGATAACAGAAAATAGATGTTTAAGGTATATAAGCAATAACTTCTTATCTCATCACATTTTATCATTTGCAACAAAGCAATCAAAAAAAGTCAAAAAATTAGACTGGTTTGAGAACACTATCTTGTTTATTGTATAACATTTTAACTAAAGATGTTAATACCAAATTGCAAAGAAAAAGAAGAAGATTTTTTTGATTGCATTATATAAAAATGATGAATTTTTTTCTTTTAATGCAATCAATTTTTATACAATTCAAAGAAACAATTGATATGATTTTTTAATACTATTGATTGTAAAGTTTATAAAATTTTTCTTAAAAAAATAGATTCAACTTGTACCCAATATGTACTAAAATGTTATTGTGTTGAATATACTAGAAACATGAAAAATTATAGCTTATGTGATCTTATAATCTATGAGTTTATTGTGAATAAGCTATTTTCTTATGAATCCATATCATTGTAAGATATTAATATTTTTCAATATACTTATAGTAACAAGAAAAAATCTTCATTCATCTACTTTTTTTAAAGCCAAGTCGTTTATTATAAATATGTTTTGACACAAAAAGAAGCTATTGTATAGATTAAGCAAACTTGTAATGATCTTGACTTTGAGAAGAATTTGCTTTTGTGAGAGTCAAAACAATACATAGTAAAATATGGTTAATTATATTGTCTACAAAGATATCATAAAATTAAATTAATCCAAACTATTGCAAGGTATGTAATATTAATTGATTCATTCATCTCAAAGATGATGATATTAAAAGATGAAAACATTCATTTTTACAAAAAATTTCTTACGTGTCTCAATAAGCTTAATGGATATTGAAGTTCAAGATGCAATTGTTAATTCATAGCAAATTAAAAGTTATGCAATTTTTATTGGCATGTGCAATTGGTGAAAATTTTGATCTAGTTGTGCATCATATGAATGTTGTTTTATATATTTTTAGATGAGAATATTTACACGAACTAACAATTGGCTTTAAAAATAGTATTTAATAGAAGTTGTTTCGTACATAAGTGATAATCAGTAGATGGATGCAATCGAACTCTAAATTGATCAAAAGATGAGTTAATAAAAAAATAAATTTTGTAAATAATCTGTTTGATTCATTTAATTACATCAAACAAATAAATAATGAAAATTTAGTTTTATTATTTTAAATACTTTATGTCAACGAAGTAATATTTTGACAGATTAAAAATACTTTGATAATTAACGGATGCTAGAATTAAAAATTCTCATTCAAAATAAATCATTTCAAAAATGTATTAGGTTTGTATCTTCACATGAATTTTGAACAAATGCAATTTTTTGATCAAATTAACATTTGAACTGTGCTTGATAGTTTGAACATGAATATATATATATATATATATATATATAAATAACATTTTGAAAGTAAATTTCAAATGTCTTACAGTTTAATATCAAAATGACGCCATTACAATATAAAAAAGTCATTACAATACTTTTTATTGGGGAGTACATTCATGGATAACCGGTTTGTTCCACTGAGAACACACAATATAGGCTGGGTGTGTTCCTGGGGAGTACATTCATGGATAACCGGATTGTTCTAGTGAGAACACAAAGATTGAATTATTTGATAGTTCTATCTTTCTTGTTATCAAACTTGGTTAGGTGATTAATCACGGCAGTGTAGCGCTGACTCACAGAGTAAATTTGCACTGCCATAATGCAACGTCCAATGTTGCGTGAGAGAACTATGGCGGTGAAGGTTTAGGAATAGTTCAATTCCCATGAAAATGCGATTCTTCACAATACATAAAAACACACTTATGAGATACTACATGAATGAAAACGGTACTACATTGGAAAAGGGAGGCTACTCCTAATGTTGCACTCACGTAATCCACAACCATCTTCCACGTGCATATTTGTGATTTCAGTTTACAAAGATAGTGCAATGTCGGTTCCGCAAATGCTTATGAAGTAATTTACTGTGCACAAAATGTGCTTCCCGAAATGTGCTCGGACGAGGCTCGAAGACATGGCCTCCTTCGTGCATTCATCCTTTAAGCAAGCTGGTATTCCTTGTTGTAAGTATTAATTTCGTGACACACAGCATTTTTAAACAGTAGAGAAATTCGAACGGCATGGAAAGACCCATCTATAAAAAGACAAAGCCATGTAAAACCTGCAGAATCTGGAAAACTCCCTCTGAATGTAACCCTCCTCGACCTTTCACAGCCTAGGACAACATAAATGCAGGAAATCAAACGTTAATAACGATCTTGTTAAATTCGTGAAATCAGCTCCTCAGCAGTACCGGACAACTTGCACCTGTTATCTGAGAAGATTTGTCATATGTGGCGGAAAGGCTGAGAATTTTTTTATAAGCGAACTAGACAATTTATTAAGACGGCGGTGTATAATTCTGTAAGTTATGCAAAGAGTATAGTAAGAAACTTGCCCACTAGCTCTCAATAGTAAGAAATCGATTCCGATCTTCAGGTATAAATTGGTTGCCCAATCTCTTGCTATCAGCGCTTTGAGTAAATCAGTAATGAAGGTCGTCCCCTGATTGCCAAACTTGCAGCGAGAAGGAAAAGAAAACCCTGAAGAATGAAACAATCTGACTAAAGCTTGCCGTGAGATGGTCCAAGGTTAGCCATTGGGTGTAATTCCGGAACTCCGATTCGCCAGTACGGATCCGCATCTTCAAACACAGGAGCCGGCTCGCCTCCTGCTAATCGGTCATCCCTTTCAGGACGAGGGAAATCGCGTACATAATTGGTTGCATTCATAAACAAATTAATTAGGCGGACAATGACCGACTTGGACTCTTCCGGACTTGAGCGAACGTGTAAACGCTGAAAAACTAATACACGTCCGTTGGCCCAAAACGCAGAACGCTGTTTAATATCCGCGAAACAGTCACAAGGCAACAAAAGCTTTGACTCGATAGGAGCTGCTGGATGACAGCAGTAAGTAAGTTGGTAAGTTTGCCAACGACTGAAGCTTGAATCCGGAAGAACGGCTGTGATGTTAGACTCCTTAATTTGATCCACCTTCAAGTCTTACTAGGGAAAGATTACCAATTAAGTAAAGCTGATTTGAGACACCCTTTTGGATGATGGACAACAGAAGTGAAACAAGTCTTAATTTCAGCAAGATCCATGTTCGAATTGTACGTGCCCTTCAGTCATAATACCAGCTATTGTGTCAAATCGAAGTCCTGAGCATTCGGCATGACTCTAAACTCATCATGATCGGTTCATTGGGACTGACCGAATTGCATTGCTTCGCAAATATTGGGAACCAGTTTCACCTTTAGAGAACGTCTGCTATGTAAGATCAGCAGTTTCCTACATGATGATTTTTCTAATCTTCCATTACGTTCTGATGGAAGTTTGTGGTACATGCATGATACATGCCAGTTTCAGTTATTTGATCTCAGAAAAGTCAGTTACCAGCCAGCAAGGAGTGTTCTGCTTAAAGCGTCCCACTGTACTCACTCAGAAAGCCCAAGTTATTTGTCTAACTTCAAGCGTTGGGCTTTTACCCTCCAATTAAAAAATTTCTCTTTGTCTCTAGAGCTTGTGAATTTTCCACTTAATAGAGACTTTCTTACCGGAAGTTTTTGTGGCAGTGCAGTGAAATTCAATACAGGTACTTCTACAATTTCCTCAGGGTATACCTTCCAGTTTAGAAGGTGATCACTCCTGTGAATCTTTCTTCACATCAGGCTCAATTTCAAAAAAAACTTTATATATCGTTTACACGATAGATTATTTACTTATTCTCATGGTATTTATTTATCTACACCATTGTGGTGATCACTTCCACTCAAACTGCACTGTCCACACTTTTTTTTAGTTTGTGGGCTGTTTTGAGACTAACTGTCGACAGTATACTACCTCCAGAAGAGAAACTTACAAACTGATCCACAGAGATGAGGCATTGCAGAACGAATACAATAATTATTTCCCTTTTAGGCATCTTTGAACTCTTTGTTCTTATTCTTATGTTTTGGGGATGAGTAATCTTTCGCAAGTTTTCTTGGCACAATCATTTGAGAATGGACTAAGAAAGTGATGACTGGAAACTCGGCAAGAAAGGTATGGACAACTGATTTGAAATCGGGATGTGCCTTGTTATAAGACCAGATTTCAAGGCGGTCGGATTGGGAATCACCTACTCGCCCAGTCCCAGAAACAGCCACAACCATAGACCAACGGAGCTCAAATTTATCTTGTTTATGCCTTATAGATTCAACAAAATTGATTCTTACGATAGAGCTTGTTTACAATATTCATGTTACCCCATGCGTGGCCTGGAGTAGAATCTCGTCATCCAGTCATGATCACATCCGGAAGCGAGTGAACAATCACCTGCTTTCATTTGCATCCTTTTTTGAGTTTCAAATAGATGACACAGTAAAGAGAATTGCGAGAGTCCTCTTCAATCACTCACTTATGCTCGGATTTCTCCATCTTCTGCCTGGCTTTCACGTCATTGTGATTTTCATGATTATCAATTGTTAATTACTGCGTCTTCCTCAGTTTCGTGTATGCGAGAGGGCTATCTAGTACAATATCAGGGGCTTCGGGGTATAGTACAGCCTCGGTTCCGCGGAAACTCTTACCAGATTAAAAAAGAAAACAATCACTTTCTCCATCTTTTTGTTTCTAGAATTTTTCCGTCATGTGCGTATCCTTATCTCCAGGCCTGTCCTGGTTTCAGGACAGGCCTGTACAACAGGAAAACCAAAACCAAAGTTTTCCATATATATAAATGATTTGTAAGTTGGTTTCCGTTATGGGACAGCTTTACGTGTTTCTATAAGCAACTGGTACGTGGGTTCTTCTGTGGAACAATTGCGGCATTGAAGCCAGACTCTGAACCAAACAACTAGTCTAGGTGATCAAAATGAAATGGGATAGCATCTATGAAATCTGATGCAGGTTTCAACAGATGCACACTGAACTAAAGCTTGCTGCATATATGGCAGATATAATGGACATACAGAGGAGCACAATGTTCATACCTACCGTAAAGATTCTCGTGCTCAAGGCTGGTAGATGTATCCAGGAGCAAGAGAGTGAGAGTGACTGTTGATTTTCTGTATGAGGTCCTGTCAACTCCTGTGGAACTTAATGAGCAACTTCTGTGTGTTGAAGTGGAGGTACTAACAAACCTTTAGTTCAATATCTGTTTTGCGTCTACAGGTACCAGGTATCAAAACTAGAACATGATAATCTCCGCAACCCAACGTGGAGGTATTGAAAATCAAGTCGGTACATCTCGGGCTAAGCTATCTGGAATAAATCTTGGTTGAGCTCGCACGCCTGAAAGAAGAGAAGTGGGCGTGAGGAACTTACTCATACTTCATTATCAGGATGATCTGGCAGCTACTTCTATTGTGACCTTTAACATGTCCACGTCCAATGACGAATTTGGGCATATAGTCACCACATGTGAAGTGTTAACATTTGTTGCCTCCACGCCCATTTGGCGGCCAACAACTGCAGTCTATAACTCAAAGCTTATAGATCGGCGACCTGAATATGACATCAGACATAATGATGTATTTTGCAGTCGGACGACAGCTTTATCCCTAAACGTATTTTCCCGTGTAGATCCCAAATATTGATTTTCCAAGAAGTAATGGGAAATATTTGCGAGATCAACGGGGACCTCGAACCAGGGCAACTCGCTTTCAACCAATTCCTTGTGTGTGAATCTTGATATCACCTCACCACAAGAATTTAGCTGACATCCTGAAAGACATGCTCAGAATTAAGGGAGAAAATTAGATATGACAATCTGTCTCGCGTTGTCTGCCAGCGTTTATTCATCCAGAATCTACATCACACCACAGATGGTACCAATGATTTGCAGTGAAGTGGGAACCATATAATTGGGATCGAGTTGTTAAATTAATTCGTAGAGTCTGTCCAGAATCAGACCCCAAAGCACTTCAGCGAGAAGACATCGAGAGGACAGGAGAGGAGCGGACAGTCGTACATTTGAGGAACAGACGCAGGAGAATAGATGAAGAAGAACATCAAAGTAGAGCACAAATTTGGTCTGCCAAGATGAACCTCTCGGAAGGCCCTATCACTCCTCAGCTGCGCTCTATGAATCCAGACAGGTAGATGATTCATCGCACACGGGGTAAAAACCGAAAGTACTGGTTTCGGAAAGCTTGATCGGACCAAAGCCTTCCTCCAAATTTTACTGCCAAGGATGCACATGGAGACAAGCAAACCTGAAGGGCTGCCCATGAAGCGTGCAGTATTTGCATCTTCGCGAGTCTCTCAGGGATCCCTCGGTGATCGTGGGTATTATTCGGTACTGATAAGTGGATCTGAGAGGAGTATTCTGAACGGTCTTACAGCAGCTGATGACATAAATTTTCTTTTGCTCTTCCTCAGTTCCAGTGTTATACTTACGATCCAAATTCGCCTCCTTAACTCATAATTTTCTTTCAAAGTAACACAGGTTCATTTGATGGATGAATGGATATTGATGCTGCACTGACTACTCCGATTCAAACAAATGTCCCATGCCGCTCGCACCTCGGCAGACTCGTCAGACTCCTCTAAAGCCTCCACATTTCTCTACGAGGAGCCTGATCGCTTGTTGTCGATGAAGATGACCGAGAGAATCTGGCTTTCCAGGAGCGGGCAAGAACAATCGAAGTGGGTCCTGCCCATAGAGGTGTCACTAGAGAACCTTCTCTCGATACTTTTCTAACTCAGAGCTTCACTTACAGCAGCGCAGCGGTGGATTCAAATGCACAAAGTGGTGTGCGTGTGGGTTTTCGGCCATCTCGTATGTGACATCTGAATCTCATGAGCCAACCCATGAAATTACTCCGATTTCCGAGAGAGTTCCAGCTCATGCAATTCCTTCCAGTACACTTGGTTCTTCACTGATGAACTTTCATGGGACATGAAGGAACGGCTGGTTGTTTTTTCAGCTGTTATTCAATAGAATTCCATTCATGGAATCACTTTCGACTGCAATCCAGACCAACTATGGTCATGGACATCGATCTGTACTCGCTGCCGACACAATCAAACCGTTGGATGACATTGGTGGTGGCCCAGCTCTAGAACGAAAGAATGTTTGTAGCTCACTTTCGCTTGAAGGGTCGAAACCAGGGGGTGCCTGTCAGCGAAAGGTCGCGAGTTTGAAGGTGTCACTTACGACATCATGCACAATGCTCTCGAGTGAGCAAGTGATTAGTGAGAAACCGTGTCGATGCCGAATTTCAGAATGAAATTGATAGCTACGAGACTTGAATGCGACGTGCAATGACAGAATGTGGTCGGTGATTCGTCTCATGTATGGGACACTACAAAATGTCCGAAACCTTACGCACAAGCAGACGTAGATCGGATGGCAATAGGAAGATATCCCATGGATCCATGGTATTTGAGGGCAACCGTCTTCGGTCCGCTCCAAGGAGGGTCTGCAAATTCGTATGGGGCAGATCGTCGGTCGGTTGAAATGGCTCGAATGAACTCAAATGGCCTGGCCATCGCCCGGACGAACTCAAGCAGCAATTGAATCGACCTGGCATTGCACACTTGATCGAATTCGGACATATTTCGGGGTGAATATACCATCCGGAGAGAAAATTGTATGATGCGACTCGAATTTGAAGATGTCGAGGGCAAAGAAGAAACGGATGGAGCAAGGGGCGACATCGCCGGCGTTATCTGAAGCCCGCTCAAACTCGCCACATCCCACGGCCATGGGGCAAAAAGGGTCGACCAACAACAGCAACAGGCCAAAGCACACTTACTCCTTGAAATTCAAGGATTCTCACAGGGCGAAATCTCCAGCACCCAAACCCAGGGCTCGTCCCGGCGATGGGGCAGTCGAGGTACCGGTAGAAACGACGTGCGCAGCGCTGCCGGCGCTGGTTATACCATCTCCATGTCGGACTCGAAGTCCTTCTCCGACCCCGAAACGGTATCATCAAACGTGCACTCCGAGCCCCCGACCGCACACGCCGCGCACGAAGCACAAGGTCTCGAGAGACTTCGACAGCTACGTGCTGAGGCAGCGAGCGCAGAAGGCCATCAAGCACAGCAGAAGATTCGCAGCCGACCGGCGATCGGACCGCCAACGAGAACGATGCAGATATTACAGTTGCAGTCCTCCTCCGATGAAAACTCGCCACAAGCACTACTGCGGCCACAAGCCCTACCGAAAGGATCGGACCGTTCTCCAGATGGTGGGCAATGTGCTGGAGAAGGGGTTGAATGCTTTCAAGAGCTTGATCGAGGACGGGCCGATCGGTGACTCGGCTCGCTACTGCAGGCGCAGGATCAAAAGGCTGCTGAGACCGATCTGGTGTACGTGTTTGACTCACACGTGTTTGGGACCTCCGGCGGACCCCGTTCAGCGTCATGTTTACTCGCGAGGGAGGAAATGTCGCGACCGTGCTCGGAGTACCGAGCTCATGAGACGCTTCCCCCGACTGCCCACCCCGATGCCATCGAGCGGTGAAGGTGAGCCATCATCCCCGGAATCCGTGCCCCGAGCCGCCGCTAGTAGAGAGCCCTCTCCTGCTCCTGATCCGGTGAATTCTACTGTAAGCTCAGAGCCGCAACTGCAACAAACAAAAGCCCCTAAAGCAAGTGAATCACCTCGAGCTCATGAGCAGCAGCAGCAGCCGCCGCCACAGCCACCCCTGAGCCCTTCGAGTTCACCGAAGAACGCATCCCACAAAGGAAACAAGAACTTCGTCAGCCTTGCGCAGTTAAAGCGCGCAGATGCTAAAAAACCATGATGCTGTATTCTAAACTGGAGACTATGGCGCATACTGTTGGAAATCAACTCTTCTGACGACCGTACTTCCACTCCAACTTCGATTTGATCGTGGGGACTCCTCGCACGATCCGAGACTCTATCCGGCTGTTTTTCCCATCTCCCAACACTTGCCTCGGGGAGCTGTTGAAGGTTCACGGTCGTTGCAGGAGGTGGCTTATTCTTTTATTCCAGCTCAACCTGGTCACGGCTCACCCAGATCACGGTAACGAACTCTGAGTTACTTCCAGAAGTCGAGCACTAACATCTCATCCTAACGAAGAATGATGGATAAGTTTCGAGCAATGCAATCGATTTGAGATGTGCGTTCAGAGTTGTGTCTTCGAAAAAACGGCGCTGGAACCATGATAACTACCTGAATTCCATGCACAGAAACGGGATCGATGAGGCGGGTGGATGAGCCGCTTTCGATAGATCTGTGTGGGATATGACAGGAATGCTCAGGTGAGTGCTCTTTCTTATTCTTTTGTGCTGCTTCAGTTCACTACGGTTGTACCTCTTCCGATGTAAAAGGAGCCCAGTGAAATAAAGTTTTGTGATCGATTACGGGAAGATGCTGATGTCTGCCTGAACTATCATTAATCACGAATGGGCGTAAATATTGTTTACTACGGTGCTCATACTAACCGACAAGTCTTCTCAGAATGGATTTTTTATTTGTGGTCATTGGTTGTGATTTCTTGTGTGGAGTAGAACCGGTAGGCTTCTCAGTCGAACACGGATTAGTCGTTCTTTTACAGGTACCGAATGTGACTAGATTTTAAAGTTCTAAGTTATAAAGCGCCAGCAGAATCCTCCAAAAGTTTGCTGGATCTAAGTAAAACAATCTCAATATAACGTACGAGTCGAGTGGTTTGCTTGTGTTGCAAACAACCAGTTAAATCTGTACATTGTATATCGGTCTGGAACCACGCACGAGGAGAAGTACATTGAGTTCAAGCCTAGTTTGCGAGAGCAGAACAGTAGGCGCACTCAGGCTGAGGACCAACTTTGACCATCTGATACGTGGTTAAATGCCAAACAGTTTTTGATGTATACTCGTTACCTGCGCCTCCCAACCTTCCACTCATTTGACGTTTGTCGTTCTTGACCTCGTTGCTTTGTTCGATATTGAGTTCTAGCTTAAAGCAAATCCCTATCATCAACCTCAGCCCCTGGCCGAGACTATATGCTGCGCTTAGCACCTGCGAGGACTAGTAACCGCCGAGACCGCAGACCAATGGCAGAATCTTTCAGACCATCACACTCGACATGGAGCTCTTTGGGCAAGTTGGTTTGTATAATAGTAGCAGTTGAAACAGAGATCGAAGCAATTTGCTCGAACCTCGAATCAATACTGCTCCATCTTTTCCTTTTTTGATCGACACTTTCCTCGTTACCCTTTCTGGCCCTGTGCTCCATCATTGAATGAGGCCCAGCCTACTTATTGGCATTCCAACAGTTGGTATCCATGGATCAACTCACCATCCCAGACCACAGATAAACAACTGGTCAGGTGGTATTCAGCCCACAAGGAATGCCCCAGTGAGGCTCGTACTTAAGGGTCGAACCTTTGTGTCATCACCATGCCGAGAGGAATTCTAACCATCCTGAACATACAAGAAAGAGTCGTCCATCGTCTTATCTTTCAGATTTTGGATACAATCATCTCCACTTGTGCTTGACCATCAAGATACATCAAACTTGAATGCAGACCTTTCCACGGAATCAGGAGCCCATCCTTCATAACAAGGACTCAGATCCCTTGCTTGCCAAATATGACTAGACTAGTCGACACAGACTCCCTGTACACCGAGCATGAGTTCGTTGAACAATAATTCTCAGAAACAGGAGTTGCAGGACTCGTCTTCCCCCCGTTTATTGTGCGTGTTCCTAGCTGCTCCCGTCAATAATTAGAAGCTCCAGATGAATCTTCCACTGACAGATACATGCACCATACCATAGGAATGATGACGGAGGTCATGACCGAGCTAATCAATGTTTAGAGGGCTCCTTGTTTGACCACACTGGTTTTGCCATCACTGTCATGTACTCGTGGGGACACTGTTGAATAGTTGAATGATGTTCGTCATCCACGTGAAATGTAGATGGTTAATAAACGGGATGTAACTGTCAACCCCCCGAGCCTATCAGAAGGTTGTAAAAAACGGACGCCTCTGCACAGTGTCCAATTCATTCACACACACAAGCGCGAGATGTAGGGTCTGCACCCCCATCAGGAACACCTCTCACAATCACGATTGCCCGTTCCCTCCTTCCTTCTTTTCCCATCTCGACCTTCTTATAAAGCACTCCTGTCGATTTCCGAGTGCAACACGAAGTACTAGTGACGATGCAATCAATTCAGATAAAACGTGGTTCCGGGTCCCCGGAGTGACTGAGCTGAGGTTTCCTGTAGACAAAAGGGCCGATGAGCAATAACTCACTCGGAGGAACAGAGACATGTGTTCACAAACCCTCCAGGTTAGGGTTTCACTTAGGAAGGTGAAATGGCAAAGAGGCCAAATTACTTCACCAGTCGAGATTTTTTACAGCATCTATGTAAGTACATTGGCTCTGCTGACTGCAAAAAAAGTGACTGAGCCTGATCGATGAGTTTACCACCATTCAACAATGAGCACCATCTGTGAGTACCATAAGAAGCTCAACTTGCACATCAAAAGTCTTCCGAGGAGCTGCAAACTTTGCTGCAGGTAGGTGGCCACCACTGTAGATCCGGTGGCTGGCTTAGCCAGTGAGATCACAGAAGTGAATTAATGTTGGCTGTTGAGCCACAATACCACCCAAACGAGGATGATACTCGGCTGAGCTGAACGGTGGTTTTGAAGATGAGACTGAGCGCGAGAGAGGGGCCGGGAATATCACCCGAGTACTCGTTGCCTAGCTCTGAGTACTCGAATTCCGCTACACTTGTATCAGCCAGATCCTTCCCCTCTGGCTTTTGGATTTAGTTCACCTGAACATCTGTGACCGACAGCCTCCTCAGAGATCCTGTCTAGGTGTTGTTACGGTAGTTGTGCCCATTCTCCTTTCTTGTCGTTACTCCTACTACCTGCTGTTTGAGCCTCACCGGACGCGATATAGCGCTGGTGCTCTTTACTTCATCGGAATCTTGTGGTGTCCAGTACCACGCTGTTCAGTCCTCGCATCCCCGAATTTGTTTGCTCCTGTTTTCTTTCAGTTATGTCTTCACTCATCCTGGAAACTATGCTAATCCTTCAAGCTCTGTCCCACGCCTCGATCCTCTCATGCCACTAGTCCTCATGAGCCATGGTTCTCGTGCCCGTGAGAGAACGAAGCATCCAAACTACTACGCTGATTCAAGGGAACGGTGTGCAGGCGGCGAGACCAGCCGTCGGCACCGGTACTTGAGAACACGAAAGTGTTGGACAATCGCGCAGTAAGCCAATTGGAGTTGCAACCTCTTTGTGGCAGTTAGCATGTTGCCCGCAGAGCGAGTCTTCATTCCTGCTGTAAGTTACTCATCTTTGTAATGGTTTGCTTCCATCGGTTCTCGTGTCCACTCTTCTTCCTTGGAGTTATGCTCTGCTTCCAGACCGTGTACACCCTGGTTCCTTTGCTTCCAATTGTCCCTACCCACTGCTGTTCTCCCCGGACAACATCTCACAGCTTTCTCACCGTCAATCTCAGTCTGGACTCCAGGTCGCCCTTGTTGTGACTCCATTCTGAGTCACATTCCCTTTTCTGTCTGCATTGTTAAACTTGGGCCATATAGTTGTAGTATAGGACGTTCTTGAGATTCAGCGTGTGTGTGAACATTTGCCATGGAAGAGCAAGAACGGTAAGACAAAACCTGCAGCTTCCAAATTTAAGAATGGTAAGCGGCATCCTGAAAACTCGTGTGCTCAGTTTCGTCGGCCGGCTGGCCGGCCGGCCGGCTACTCAGAGCTGGAACAGCGTCGGATCTTCGGTCTCAGAAAGCTGTAGTAATTGTCATGGGCTGATGCTATTCCAGGCACAGCAACGAGTCTGTCTTGTCTGTCCGTTACCCTCGGAAGCCTTCGTGGACCACTCAATCTTTCGACCATGGTTTCCTGCGCCCATTGATATCCCTTGTCCTTGAGGTCTGTGGGATACACAGCGCACAAAAAGCGGGAATCGGGAAAATAACAAATAGGAAGGGAAGTCCCCATCGAGTCGGACAAGCATGAAACCAAACGGGTATCATGGGGCTAGGCCCAATAGCATGGCAACGGCATATATGTCCTACCGCACCTACTGTCTAGGCCATACAGTGCACCATGTATACTTGCGTTGTTTATCCTCTTGGCAACACTCACCTCCACTAAGCATGGAGGTGGGGTGGGATGGGGTGGTGTGAGGTGAGAATCTCTTCCCGTTCGTGCCCTGGGTGGCGATTACTTCACAGTGTGAGCGTCGCGTCCCTCCTCCCTGTCTTAAGTATGCTGCGGCCGTGTTCACCTTTACGGGGGTTGTCGCTGCACTGGACAACGCGCGCTCGTGTGGCAGCCTTGCATCACAAAGCCACAATCCCCGTTCTATTTATGATTGAGCGCCACGACTGACATTACATTTCACCTCACCTTTACCCAGCCACGGATTCTCGGGGAGAGGATAAAGTGGATTCACTTGCCGAGTGAGATTCCATCTTCATTACATCTGTCCTTGTTACAACGAACTTGGTTCTCTGTTTGCTTCCTCTCGTATCCTGGTTTCCAGTTGTGATGTCGCCGCTCACACCAGCCCTTGTCTCTCATGAGAAGCACTGGCAATAGAGAAAAATCGAGGGTCCTGCGGCTGGAAAGTCCTAACAATAACTTGAGCAGATACCTTCATTATTTGGGATCCTTGCAATTGTGCATCCTCGATCACACTTTATTTTGCGTCTTTCTTGTACAACGGAAGACTAGACAGACGTCCGAGAAGAAAACGGAAAATGGAAAAACATGGGAGCTTCGGCGGCGAAGGCCGAAGAGGTCATGGGCATAAATGTACCCGGGACACAATCACCCACGGGGAGTTAGTGTACTCTTCTCTTCGTTTGGCATACTTGGCATACTGGTCAGCATAGGATAGAACTAATCAGTCCTCGGGCGGCATAGAGTCGATTCAAGGGGTTCCTTCAATGAGAGGGATATTCAGTCAACTGTAAAGCATGAGGGTGTGACTGTCATATAATAGAATGAAAACGAGAGTCTGATGCCTCGCAGTTGAGCTCATCCGAACGATTTTCCTCGGGTAAACTTTGGAAAGCATGTCTGAAACTCGGTTGCAGCGTGGGTAAATCTCGTGCTCTCCTCACGCTCAAGTTAGTTGACACAGTTTACACCAAAACACGGTGCCGGTGTGTGTCACAGGAACTGGGCTTTTGTCCTAAGCACGTTGACACACTGCAAACCTCGCGTTCTCGGTTTATCTTGTCTCTTCCCTTGGCCCATTCTCATCATCACCGCTGGGATCGATCCTCCTCCTTCGGCCCCTGACACAGATCTCTTGGAGCCCAATCCGAACCACTACCATCGGTGTGTGCAGTGTCAAATCCTCAGATTCTTGTCCAGCTTCTCGCTCTTGCTTGAGGTCGGTTCCGAAATGTTGCTGAGCCTGACTGCATGGTCGACCGTAAACGGCAGACGGCAGATGGCAGGTCCTTCATGAAATATGGCTACGAGATGCCGACACGGTCACAACCAACGAAGCCCAGGTGTCTGCGCTGATCGGGGTTTACATTTATGATACCTTGGTGAGGGCCCGGACCAACGGGACTTTGTCTCACTGAGTCAGGACCCTCTAGCCAACCAGTGTCGAATTTTATCTGAACATGCGGCATGAAAGAGAGCGCCCCTCGTGCAATATTGATGACGTTACAAACCGTGATTGGTTTTCTAAAATTGGCACCCTCGACATTCAACGACGTAACAGCGTCGACTTCTTACGAGTAAATTGATGAACCGAGTAATATAGCAGAGAGCGCAGGAACTTAGCATCGAGTGGACGTGGATGAATGTAAACCCTTAAGGACGTGGCTAACCTCCAAATTCATACCAATCGGAAATAAGTACTGCTGCAACTCAGACATACTCAGTATCTCGATAAATGGTCTACACATTATTATTCATACGAAGTAATAGCTATATCATAGTTTGCGTCATCTACGTTTAAAATTATTACAGATTGACAATATTAATTTACCTAATTAACTATACTGAGATATCGCATGTAAACTAGTTCAAACATCATGATGTGGCATCCACATTGTTTTGATGTAAGAACACAAGGGCGTAAGTTGCAGAAGCATTCATCATGACCATTGTGAGCTGCTGTTCTTTATTTCTCTGCTCCTCATCATTTGAGGTAATTGTACAAGTACAAATCCCTCAGAAAAGATCACGTTATCCAGTGATTGTAACAATAATTCCTGTCCAAAGTTCACATACCATTATATTGAACCTTTTTGTAATTAAAAAATTCTTTTTTGGAATACTACTGGCAACGATTCTCTCATGATACATTACATCACAAAACAATAAACAGATATTTGTATATCATAACTAAACATATTACAATCTAATTTTATGAAATAAATTTGTCATGCATTTTTCATCCCGAGGGGATTTCATAGTCCAAGTTTTATGAAATAAAACTTCTTTTTATAGACTAATATTTCAAATAGATTTTTGTGCAATCTTGTTATTCTGATTTACAAATAAGAATACATACAATCGATTTTACTTATATCTGAAGAAATTTTTTATCTGAACAGAATCATGAACTGTAAAATATAGTTAAGTAAAGTATTTTTTGTAAATTTTTTGAAAGAATCAAATGATATAAAACACTTCACGTTCAAATGATACCACTTTCCTTCAAATTGGCATACTAGAGTGACACTTTACTCAACTGCACATAATTTTCATTCATCTTTTAGATCTAATGATCAAATTTTTTAATAATGATATACACAATTCTGGAAAAAAACTTAGTCTTAAATAAGTTCATCGAAATTTCGTACTGCTCAAGGTATACAATCAATAAAAATTAAAATGAATTACAACCAATCGTTTTTCAAAATTAGCTTCATATATCAGCTAGCAGCAATTACTGATTATTTCCCCTGAAACCAGATGTGTGTACTTTAACATTCAATACAATCATTATTTCCATCGTATAGTGAATGTGAATAAATGTTGAAAGAACGGTTAATATTAGGTTAAAATTAAAATCAATATTATCACTTCATAATAGAAATATTAAAGAATCAATCTTAAATTTTTTTAATTTAGATTAAAATAGATTTGCTTCTTTGATATATTACTAATTATATTTATATATAGAATATATAAAATAATGTGGATTATTTTCATAAAAAATAATATATTTATCATGCTCAAATACAATTCTATTCAAATTAGAACATGTTGTTTTTTATTTTATTTTTATGGTCTGAATCTTACGAAAGTAAGATTATAATCAACATTTTGTTATTTAGATGCATACTTTTAAGCATGATAAATTTGTTAACTTTGAAATTTAGCATTTTATATGTTAAAATTTTGAAAAAATATGAAATATGAAAAAATATGAAAAATACATCCTGCTAAAATAAAATCGTTAATAATTGAAAAATTTATTAATCGTATATCTAGGTTATTCAAGTTTTTGTAAAATAAAAGCCTTATACATTATATAATTTTCAAGATTGTTGTGAAATTTCTTTCTTAAGTACTTTCAATGATATATGTATATTAATATGTGGATAATTAGATATTATTTTTTATTTCAATAAAAACTCTTACATTTATGAAATATAGATAAAAATATTCGCATAAATAAATAAATAAATAAATAAACCTACCTGATGACTTGAAATTTAATATTAGTTCAAGAAATAAATTCATATAACATTTTTATATGTTTTAAAAAGATGATTCTTTTTTTCATTATTATTTTAACTTGGTTCAAAATAATAAAACTGAACTTAAAACCTAAAGTTATGCTTTTCTTACTGAAGATTATAAAAAATGCATTTTATCTTGAACTTCATCTTTAATTATATAAGATCAGAGATGTTTGACATATAAAAAGCTGAAGACAAATAATAGATGGTAACTTCATAAAATTTTTTTTTGCTATTAATGTGAAAGCTTAAAACATATTGATATTTTTTTAGCATGTAGTTAAAAAGATTTGTTATTGATAAAAAAATTTTAAATTATCAATCAAGTACAAGAATTATACTGAATATATTTTTAAATTAGATCATTCAAATATAAAATTTATTTTTAAGTAAGAAATAATGTAAGTTTTTTTAAATAAAATTTAAAGAAAATAAAAGATCTTAATAATAAAAAAGAAAGAAATTCTAATAAAAAATATTTTTATGAAATATATATGAAATCATTGTAAGTTTAAAATATCAGATATAAACTCCTAACATTGCGATTAGAAAATGTTATAGAAGATCCAATTGCAATGTTAAAGCAGTTATACAGCACGCACAATGATATTGGAGATACGAGGTTTACCTATGCATGCTACATCCACAAAACACCTAAGTGTTTATTAAAAAAAAAACTTAGAATATCATTGCAAATTTTTTCTAGCTCTCTTCTATTATGATAGTGTTCTGGGGTGTCGGGCTTGAATGTTCAATTGAATCTTAACCTAGTTGATCTGAGTTAAATTCTAACAATGATCATCTTAGATTATATTTGATCTATCATTATAGAAAACAATCAGTACATTATATTGATCAATGATAAAACTCAATGCATTAGATCTGTATCATATTTACAATAGACTAATGCATCTATTCAAAAAAAAATCAGTTACTAATATACATAGAAAAAAAAGATTAAAACCAAGATAATTATCAAAAAATTCATTTATAAAAATTTTTTTTTGAACAAATATGTGGATTTTAGAATGATTTATACTATTTTAAAGATCAAAATATTAAGGCTGAGGACGAGTTGACACTATGTTAGTTTCGGAAGAAAATGAATCTTGTTTATTTAAAAGACTAAGTCTTATGTCCAGAGTGTAATATTGCTATGGCAGGATTATGATTTAATTGATATGATAAATTGATATTGATTATAATCTCATATTGATAACAAAGTGTGAAAGCTAATGGAGGTTTCAAAATATTAACCGTTAATTGATAGCAAATGTATGCCAAGCTAAATAATTATCTAGCAATTGACTAAAATAAACTATTGAAATAGATTGGTAGCCAAAGGTTTTACACAAGAGATTAGTGTATATTACAAAATCGTTTTTTCACATGTAGCAAAATATGCTACAATTTGATTAGTATGTGCAGTTGTTGCAATATTTAATCTACTTATAAACTAGATAAATGTACACACGATAATTATTTTAAAGATCTTTAGACAAGATGAGATTGAGGCAAGATACAAGAGAAAAAAATGTAAGGTTTGATAAACTTACTATATCACAATTATTTTTTAAAAGGGTGAATAATTATTACTTAAAATTCATAATTTTAATATTATAAGTGTATGGATGACATGTTCATTTTGGCAAGAAATATGGAAAATCATATGCAAGGAACAACTTAAATCTGCATATTTTCCAACTTTGCCGCAATGTTGGCAAAGCATCATTCGGCAACAGTGCTCAAGTACATTATGAATGTCTTCCCAATCAATTGATAAACATAGAAACCAATAAAACATGTGAACTTGGATACCACTAGATCTACATGTGATTACGGCATGGATATATGTGCATCTATCAAACAGGCCAATTTTGGTTCAAACACAACAAAGCTCTGGCCTTTATTCCTAGTGATTCGCAGCTATTTACGGCCGTATATATATCTCAGAGTAAAATAGGTTCCAATTGTGGGCCCACAAGTCACTAAATTGACTTGTGGATATTGAAATATTTGAGTAAGTCCAAGAGTATAACCTGGACATAGTTTATAAATATATGAAGAATAAAAATCAAGTCAAAGTAAGTAAGTGCTTGACAATTTTAACATGAAAAAAACCAAAAATATTGAAATGTTATTTAACAAATTTAGATTTTTCGTAGCTCAATATTCGATTGACGCTTTTTTAAAGAAAAAAATAGCATTAATTTTTTATGACAAAGTAATGGATTGTCTAATGCATTTGATGATATTCATTATTGCTAAAATTGCTCTAGTTATATATGAAGACATGTCAAATTCAATCAAGATGCAGTAAGAAGTTACATAATGGAATCTTATGTAACTAAACATGAATTAGGCTTATGGTCTTTTATTAAATGGTTCATTTGACCTATTAAATGGTTAATATATTATGTTGAAACTAACTATTGGCAAGATTTTGACAAGAAAAAATTTACTATTGAGCATGTCTTTAAACTTTATGATAGATGCAGTTGAAGAATTAATTTACTAAGTGCTCAACTCAATCAATAATAGAAGCTGAATATATATGAATAGCAAGAAGAGCTACTTGATCAAATAAATTTATCACTAAAATGGTATTGAAACACGATGTTGTCAATCTTTATTGAGATAATGAAAATGCATTACATTTTAAAAAAATCAGGTGATGGATAAGAGAATGAAACATATCAAGTTTCATTTCATCAAAGATACAATTATGATACGAAGATTAAACCAATCAATATTGACAGTAATATCAACGTTGTTTATGCATTGACCAATTTTTTTTTTTTCTTTTTAGAATACATTGTGTTCCTTTGCAAGTTTTGCATGAGAGACAGAGTTTGAATTTTAGTAAAAATCGTGTTATCTATTTGTATTCAATATCTTGTTTTGGCTAAGACTTAATTCTGATTAGTTGTAAGTTACATAGGAACATATGTCAAGTTTTTCTTCAAAATTTTTTTATAGAGTAAAGAGGTTACAGTGTCTAAGACATAAGTTTAGGGGTAGAAAATCAATTCAATGTAAGAAATCAATTCAATGCTTGATTTGACTTTTGTTTGTTTAACTTTGGATAGTTAAGCTAGTTAGTATGTTTCTATATAAAATAACTAATAAAACCTTTTAGAGACAAAATTAAAACCTAATAAAACCTTTTTTTTTTACTTGGCCGTAGCTCTTAACGTTAAACGACTTAATTTTTCGTCATGAATGTATGCTTATGTGCAGTTATTGGAGGTATGACTACTTGCTCTTGTACATGACCTGACAGTTTTTTTTTCATATCATGAACAAAATTAGCGTTGAAATTATATATTGAAGATTCAAGTATACACATTTATATTGAATTTAAATTAATCCCAGTTACAATAAAGTGTTTCATGATATGAAAAAAATATATGAACTCATATCTTTCCAAAAAGGCATTTCTGTCATACGTCATTGACTTCTTGATAATATACATTGATAATATTTTTGCATTGGCATCAGAATGCACTTTTGGGGTTTCTTGTCCATGCTTAGCTGTCGTCTAAATACAATTTTGCTGCACTTTATGCGAACGTTTTAAGCTACAGGCATCCTAGTTGCACGCATGTACAGAAAAGT